GTTCTTTTATCCATGATTGTAAAGTGAATTTGGCCTTCTTGAAGTTTACATTTGCAATGGCTTTTGACCTGCTCTTGTCGTGTTGTTGCCCAAAAGTGATTCATGTGTCCGCCAATGACTTTGGTGTTTGTTGTCGCTTAGTGCGTGCCACACTCATCGCTGCATATTCGTTGTGTGCTTCTTGTTGCTGTGATTTATGTATGTGACACACACACACACACACACACACACACTAATACTCATGCCATATGCAGCCAGGCTACACATGTTATTCTTCCCAGGACCTTATATAACACTCGACAGTAGCCCAATTTCAAATTCAGTTTAAACAAATTTCGGCATAGTCCATGCACATCCGCAGCCACTGTTGTCCTCATTGCTCAGTGTCCTCGATTTGGCTCTGCGCGTCTCTTTCCCCCTTGCTCTCTGTCTCTCTCTCTCTCTCTCTATCTCTCAATATGGTGTCATCGCAGCAGGATACGGCCAGGCAAACAGCAGCCGTTTTACACTAGATAGATAGAAAGTCGCATCTGTAAACTTGGCTTGTTTCCCAGCTTGGCCTTAGCCCTTAAGTGTTATTGTTATTGCTGCCTGTTGTTGTAATCTTTTGGCTCACACTCACTCACACACAGACACACACACAGACCCATCGAAATACATGCGCATTATACGCATTATCCTATAAACACTTAACGTGCAAGTTGTTGTCGATTTTTCTTAGCTTTTGTCTTGCGGCTTTTGTGCTTATCGCGCCAATCACAGCGGCCAGGTCCACAGGACAGTCTTAACTAAATATATGTACAAATATATCATCTATATATATATATGTATATATTTAAATATATATATGTGTGTGTGTGTGTATTCTCTCAGAGCAGCTTCAAGTTGTTGTTCGTTGTTCGTGGCTCTCGTTATTGTTATTATGCCGCCCCGCTTGCAGTCACCGGCCCATAACGGCTTACGTGCAAGTGTGTAAGTCTGTGTAAGTGTGTTTGTGTGTGTGTGTGTCAGCTTTCAATTCCTTTGTATTTGACAGCTACAATAAAAACTACAAGCACACACACACACACACACAGAAACGCATACACTCTGCATATGCGTAAGCATTTCATTATATATACATATATAGGATTTTTCCCAAGTGCGTCCTTTCGCATTTCAATTCAAGAGCTGCATAAATCGCCAAGCTTCGCAACTTGGCCTGATTTCAAGTGGTTGACATTGTCGATGTTTGTTGGAAAGCACTTCATTTGGCATACAACTATTGTTTCGACTGTTTTAATTTATGGCACATTGTTTATCTTGCAAAACTAATTCTTAATCGATAATTTGGTCAGTAAACAGAATGAGGATTAATCTAAATGCTGAGTTACAATACATTGAATGAGTTGAATACATTTATCTTTCTGTTTATTATTACTATACATATCGAGATGATAATCATTAGTATTGTGTATATATACAAATATAATCAATTGTATATTATTGTTTTATGTAATCTCTCGCTCTGGTAAATGAAGTCGATCGAATCTTAAATAAAAAATATAAAAAAATAACATTTCTAGGCAGTATCAGTTTCTTAAAATAATAACTCAGTTTTTGTTCTTAAAAATAAAAAAATAAAAGCCATAAATTGTTAAGCTGTGTATTAAGCAAAGTAATAAATTATGAAGAAAAACATAAAGACTGAGAGCGAAAAGATTTTTGAATCTGTTCACCACGTGCTTAACGGTCAGAGATTTTCCGGCATGTTTTAATGATGACTTCAAAGTCATGAAATCAATCCACCTTTCCAGTAGAACAAACGTGCTGGCAATTTGTCTCTTTACGCATATAAATGCAAATCGATTGCTGAACATTTGCTTAGCCTTTCAACTCTGGCGTATATTTAACATAAATTTCGCATCGATCAAACTGTAAGCGAGTTTGTATCATTTCATTTGGGCAACATTTACCCCAGCTGACCTCCCACATGGCCAGCGGATGATGGGGCAGTCGAGTCGACGTCGAGTCAAAAAGATGTCTGATGTTTGATCACAACACGGCTGCCAGCTGATTGCTTTTGAGACAGGCAAAATACTTTTCATGGTTCGTCAAAAGATTTCTTTGTTTGTGTGATTCATGGAAATTCTGAGTGAAGACGAAAACAAATTAAAAGTGTACAAAATCGAAGAAGATATCGTGAGGAATGTGGCTGAAAAGAACAGCATAACATATATATATATATATTCATTTGTATATTTGTGTGCCAGTTCCTAGGCAATCAAAATTAAATTATAAAAACATTTAAATTCATAATTTGGCAAGAGGCAAATTGGAAATTGACCAGTACTTGAATTGCAGGCACGTGGCAGCTGAAACCCAAACGGAAGGCCAAAGTAGAAATCAAATTTGAGTTCAATCTTGCCAGTCGCTGCTCGGATGAGCAATCCATTTCTATATAAATACATATATATATATATATATATATATATATTTCTTGGTCAATCAATGCTTATTCTTGACTTCCACTCTAATTGAACGTACATTTTTGGGTAGCAATTATAAATTCATTGTACGCATACAAATTCAGACCACGACATCTGACACTTCCTGACAGACAGCCAGACAGGCAGACAGCTAACAGGTAGAAAGCGCCACAAAAACAGTGCTCGACATCCTGGCTAGCTGTGCTGCCCACCCACTCGCCAATCGCCTGTCATATTTGTCTGGCTGGGCCAGGCTATGGAAATTGACGGGACGCTCACATCTCTCCCCCATCTCGGAAAAGCTTACATATTTAATATGTACAAAACGACAAAGAAAGAGAATAAGTCTGCCAATGCATAGATATCCATAGACGCCTCTGCGAGTGCGTGTTGATTCCTATGCGTGTATCTGAAAACGTTAAGATACTTAAAACCAAATAGCTCTAATATGCCGAAGCCAAAATACCCTTTTAGAGAGTGAAAGAGAGAGTGAGAACGAGAGAAAGAGAGAGACACCAACTGTTGATATGACAGCCTTGCTACAATATTATTAAAATAATATACCAAATACAGGGTGTCAAACAGGAATTAAAATCGGAATAGTAATAATATCTTGCATCAAAGACTAAAAAATATCTGTATAATCTTTGCTTGTTGCATGGAAAACACTACAAACGATAATTTTATTCAAAGTATCCACTTTTTCTGAAGTTTTTATTGAAGTCTTGTGTTTGACTACACATAAGATTTTATACTTTTTGGAAAGCTAATTGAAATATCTATAAGATTATAGATCTACTATTTATATTGCTGTTGAAGTTTCCCTGGAGTCTTTGATAAATTGTTAATTCGATTTGTCAACAGAACTTATAGGCTTTTGAAAGGAAACTCCTGTGCAAATTTGAGCTTCAATAGCCGATTAGATTTAACTTTTGTAAGTAAGCATTTTCCTGGCAAACGTTTAACTTAACAAGCAAATAATAGTTGTCCTCGTTTATACCTTACCCAAACAATTTTAATTACTTTTCTGTCTTTCTAACTTTCAACTTTGCAAACTTCATGAAATATTTACAAGACCCCAAAAGAGCTTTTGTGAACAACGAGCAAGGTAGCAGCAACAACAGCAACAACAACAGCAACAACAACAGCAACAACAACAGCAACAACAACAACAGCAATGGCCACTGGTTGGCATATTATAGTAGAGTATACTTATTTGTGTTTCTTTTTTTAATTTCGAAATTGTATAACCTGATTACTCAGGAGCATTCTATATAAACTTCATTTAATGGCTTGTGACGTGCAGCCAAGCGGCACGAAGAAGAAAAACAAGAAAGAGATAAAAGCGAAGTGCGTCTCTCGGATCGCTCTATCGCGTGCTGCATATCCTGACGGCTGGTGTGTCCTTAACTCGAGGGAATTATGGTTAGGAGCTGTCCGCTTAAAGTGTTTACCACACGAAGAAGCCAATGGCGAAGTATTAACAGCATTTGTGGCTTACATATTTAATGGCACGCTTTGAGACGCTCATTTCTTTGTGGTAATTGCATTTGCTGCACACGCACTTAAAACACACACTCAAACACACACTCACACACACACACACTAAGTGGTTCACACATTTGATCAGCCAGCATTCAAGTTATTAGCTGAGTAATAAGTGTTTAGTTTAGTTATGAAAATCCACTAATTAATGCATTTAACTGCATCTTCTAAGGGTAACAAAGTCATTTGGCCATTTAATTGGCATTGCTTAGATTAGTTTGGCTTTTCATCACAATTTTATTGATTTGTATATGGCTTATCCTTTGACGCCATAATTCACGATAATTCACACTGCTGTCATATTGGCCATAGTCTTGAATAAATAGAGAAAACCACTCCCCAGACAAGTTGTTGTCCATCATATTGGCCGTAGCCCGTTTCATATATATTATGACTCAGCGCCCACATTACCTGCCTGTCATTTAGCCAATTACCTGGCAAGGCAAACAAAGGCGTATATGTATATATATATATATATATATATATATATATGTGTGTGTGTGTGAGTGTATTCGATTGGTGAATGCCACCGGCCATTCATTCATATATTTATGTCTATTATCATCGAGTGGGCATTTTAATTTATGCCCAAAAATTGCACATAAATACAGAGCCAACAATTAGCAACAGCTGTTCAACACAGAGCGAAAGAGAGAGAGAGATCGAAAGAGAGAGAGAGAGAGAGAGTGAAAGAGAGAGCGAGAGCAAATCGCATCCCGAATGAACACAATCAGTGCCAAATGCCTCTTTGTCGCTTTGACGCTTTGTGGCCCTGTTGCTTTCCAGTTGCGCGATCGAAAAATGAATTCAGCGGATCCCCGACAAAAAGAAAAAAATAAATAAAATAAAATAAGCCAACCAACAAAAAAAAAATGCTCGCACAGATTTTGGGAGAGCTGTGTGGCGAGGCGTTTTCTTTTCGCTTTGCGAACGTTTGGCGTTTGGACGTGTTCGCGTGTCGCTAAATGTCGCGACGACTTCTTCACACGGCCTGCTGAGCACAGTTAGTTTCACTGGGCGTATACGCAACACATATGCCGCCCAAGAAGTTTTTTTGTGCCTAGGCAAGAACGACCTTTTTACTGCCGTTTCGGTTTCGGTCATTACTACGCGTTCACCGATCACCGATCAGCGTTCAGCGATCGCCTTTCCCATTCCCATTTCCATTCCCATTGCCGCCAACAGATCGTTCGTCAGTCGTTGGCCGCCGTTCGTGCGTTCCGTTCGGTGTTCTCGCTCATAACTCGACATTGTCGTCGTCGTCGTCGTCGTCGCCATCGTTGTCGTCGTCGTCGTTGCTGTTGTCGTTGTCATTTCCATTCGTTGCCGTACGCGTTGCCAGCTGTCAGCGACGCTGCGCAACGCCGTTTGGAACTAAAAACGTTTCAAGGCACGGGATTTTCTCAACATTATTTTGCTCAGCGACGCCTTTGCCTTTTGCTATTTTTAACGTGTGTGTGCGGCCAAACACAAAAATTTTCACCATTTTTTTTTTTATTTAACAATTTGCCCGAGTTATTCAATGCGCATCTGTGTGCGTGTCTGTGTATGTGTGTGTGTGTGTGTGTATGTATGTGTGTGATTTTGCATGTGTGTGTGTAAAAAGTTTCGATGCGTTAAATAAGTTATAAAACAATATAGGTGAACGCAGCAAACGCCATAAATTCCAATATATACTAAGTAAATATCAATCAATTCAATATAATAAAATCCCATAGAGAAATTTGCGTTAATTACGGCAACTTTCAAATAAAATTCGAGAGGATTTGTTTGAAATGATATAGTGAACATAATTTATTGCTGAAACCATTAGTAGCTATGTGGAAGTGAGCCAAGCAAATGAACATATATTAGTTAATAGAACAAAAAATAGATGAAAGTGTTATATATTATGTATGACTAAATATTCATAAATTAATTCAACACTGCAAGGAATACAAATGCCTAGTCAAAATATCAATACTTCAGCCCTAAACAAATGATAAGAAATGCAAATTTAAAAAATATATTCGTATTTTAGTTAATTACTAAACAATATTAAATCTCAGAAAACAAATTGAAGTAATGAACCTTCGAACAATTGTCCATAAATGTACTATAGTAAAAACAAAATTCTTAAATATTTAAATATTCACATTTAATTCACATTCATATCAATCGATAGCAAAAAAAAAATTCACCACAAAGCGTATCAAGTAAATATGTTAAGGCTGAACAAGAACCCAAATGAGCAATAACTACAGTAGCTAGAAGGCTGTTGGGGTGTTAATACTTAATTTATGTGAACCTATAAATAATTTCAGTTTAGAGAATGTGTTGCCTGCCTTCTACAACACATAATATACGAATAGTGCGCGTTGTACGAAAAAATATGCTAAAAATACCTAAAAATTGAACGCTGCGTGTCGCTGTCTATGTGTGTGAGTCTTCGTGTGTGTTTGTGTGTGTGAATGTTGATAAGTGTGTGTGTGTGAGAGTGTGTGTGAGTGTGTGTGTGCGAGTGTGTGTGTGTGATTTAGTGAGTGTGCGTGTACGAGAGTGCAGTGTAGATTGATTTAAATGCAGTCGCGTTTCTCAACTAAAACCAAAAGTAAATGCAACCAAAAGAAAAACAAAAAACAGAAAACAAGAAAGAAAAAAACATACACACACACACACACACAGAAAACAAACAAAATGCAAAACGCACTCAAGAACTGGCGACACTGACGACTGTCAGTCGGCCCCCATCCACATCCACATCCATATCCACGTCGACATCGACATCCACATCGACATCGACGTCAGTCAGTGGACTATTATTTAATTTTCGTGTGTTGGCCGAGACAGCAGCCAGCAGCAAGCAGCCAGCAGCAAGCAGGCAGCAGCAAGCAGGCAGCACAAACTGAAACAGCATCAGAATCAGAATCGGAACCAGGGACAGAGACACTTTCTGCTTGCAAAAAAAAAAAAAAGAAAGGAAAAAAAATTTAATAGACTTTGCCAAAGCACCTAAAATACAGCTCAACATTATTACGAATATTCTTTCTCTTAATTTAATTTCTACTTGCTCTTGTTGTTGTTGTTATTTTCTTTCTTTTTTTTGTTTCACCAAAGCGAATTTTATTTATTTTCATTTGGTCGCTGGCAGCCAGCAATTTTTAAAATAACAATGATACATGCGGCTGCTGCTTGTTTATAAATAAATGCGCATACGTAAATGCTTTTATCAGCCCAGCTCGACAGAGCTCTGTGATAAAGTTCAATACAGCTGGCCTGGGCAAGCATCTAACTTGGCTGACTTGCACTTGACCAAAATGTTACCTGAGTGAGTGATGTTCTTCAACATTTCGTAATGTGTAAAACAATTCTAGCACTTTACTCGTTAGTAAGCTATTTGCAAATGTGGATTACTAGATAGATTATTGGAGCACTATCATACTGTGTTTTAAACCTTCCAAACATTAATTAGGAAATTGTGAATTGAAGGCATTGTTGCTTAAATTTTCTTCAAAATATTATCTTCATGTTAATGCCTCCCAAATCCATTTCTGTTTGTTTGTTTTGTGTTTTCAGTGCATTACTAGTGTTTATTAAACAAAATCTGTTTTATATATGAAAAGAAATCAATTCTCGAATTATTTATTCGCAGTGCAGTTATTATTTCGCTAAAGCTACAAATTCAGAACATAATGTGCAACGTTGCCATAAATTAACTTACAACTAGCTGCTGTAGAAGTTTCATTTCATTTCAATTCATACCTTAAGTTATAACTCCCATTGTGAAGAACGAAAAATTGAGATTATTAGTAGCATTTTGGTGTTTTGCATGTTGGCTGTTCGTTTGCTGTGGATGCCACGCTCTCTTTCGCCACGACGATCTCTAAAAATTTCTTCAGCGTAATTAAATATGTTGAACACACAGAGCAGTAAATGTTGCCCAAGTGCGAATACAAGTACATGGCATGCACTGGGATGCGATGCGATGGGATGCGATGCGTGTGTTTTCATCATCATAAATGTTTAAACAAAATAACATTGGCAGCCAGAGACAGCAAACCGTAACGCAGGCAACTGGCAACTGGCAACATTCCACTCCGCTGCTGCGCCAACCTCCCCCCTTTTCTCAGCGCAGCTCTGCTCGGTGTGTGTATTTTGCTATTTATAACAAAAGCTTTAGAAGAATTCAAATTTGAATTTCGTTCGCTTTCGTTTCGCTTCTACGGCAGCCGCAAAGAGAACAATAAACCGAGTAGCAGAGCAGAATGCCAAAAAAAAAAAACAGAAAACAGAAAAAAAATTAATAGAAAAAGTGGCCGAAATGCCTGCGGCAGTTTTATGAATACCTATGTGGAACAGGCAGAGCTGCAATTTAATAAGAATCATATTCAGTTGATCGATTCTCATCAAAATACAGCCCTAGAAATGGTATCGTACAAATAAATATTTATATTATACATATGTATGGGACTAGTACTAAACAGCAACTTGTTTTTGAAACGATATCGAACTTAAAAAAGTTACAAGTGCAAATGTGGAACATTTTCAGGTGAACTATTTAAAATACATGAAGTTGTGGTAATAGTAAATTGTATTGGAGGCACTTACTATAAAAAGCATTCCATATTTTTAAATGTGTTTTCTAGCGATAGAAAATCCATCTATGAGCCTATGTAAATATCTGTTCTTTTTAGTGCCACTTGAAATAATCCATTATTGATATGAGGAAAACAACAATATTCAGCATCAGATTTCATAGTAAACTCACAAATTTATTGCTTTCTGCGTTGTTTCCACCTGCTGGGGTTGATTTTTATGCCTTTCTAGCCAACCAGTTGCCACACGCACAGAAATTCCATTCAACCATGTGATAAGCCTGTCATTGTATGGCATCCGTTTTGACTTCTCTATTTATCTCTCTCTCTCTCTCTCTCTCACTCTCTCTCCCTGTCTCTTTGATTTTGTGTCCCGCTTGTATCTTGTTTGTATTGTGCTGTTACAATAAAACTGTAAATTATTTGCAACAGAGTGAAGAATTTCCAAATAAACAATTTCCGCTGGAAGCCCCCTATCGGTATCGCAATGCCAAGGCATTAAATTCTGTGGCAGCCACATGGCGTATGCGCAATGTGCGTTAAGCGCAAATTTCCTGCCCATTGATGCTGTTGTTGTTGTTGTTGTTGTGCTTTTCTTTGCTGTTGTTGCTGGTTCTTTCTGTTTCATTTCTCCGCCTTCTTATTGCTGCACATAATGTTGCTGCCACTTCTGTTAGCTGTCATTTTTGAGTATTCCAAGCACTTGAAAAACTAGTTTCTGCAAAAATTTTTAACTTTTCAATTTAATTAGCTGGCAAAGTTTGTGTGTGCCTCAAAGACCTTAATATAAATATATATAAACAATTTCTATAACATATAAAAGTTGCGCAAAAAGTTGGGCAGCCTAAAACTTTCTCAAATAAAAAATACGGAAATGTACAAAAAATCTTATACTAAATGCTATAAGAAAAAAAATCAAAACTAAAAACCTTTTGTGTATGCGATTATAACAATTTTGAATGATTTACTTGTTTTGAAAATGCTTTTTATGACACATCCAACATATACATAGGCAATTCATGCAAAAAGAGACTTAAAAACTGAAAATAAAAATAATAAAAATAAAAATATGATTAACACATGGCCCAGCCGCACAAATTACACATCTCTTAAGAAATGCAAAAGCCAATAGCAGAGCATCATAAATAATTACGAGGCAGTAAAAAAACAAAACTACTTGGCAAATCAACAAAAGACCACAGCAAACCAACTAAATACAAAACCACAACAACAACAACAACAGTAGAAATAGTTGGCTTAAGAACTTTTGGACCAAATGCATAAGCAGGAAAAATGAAAAGTTTGCGAGTGCTGAGCACGGTATTTGTGTGCTGCTATTTAATATTTCTAATATATTATTACTACCATCGTGCATACGTACGTGCAAACAAAAAACGAACGAGTGCTTCGACTCGCTGAAGCGAGAACAGATCGACACAGCGAGTGTTTGCAGCGAGTAGCTGCCACCGGGCAACAGCTGAGCAGCGTAGCAACCTGCAGGCGCCTCCTACTCATAAAGCGGCACGCCATTGAGAATTTTGTTGTTGGCCTTTGACGTTGCTCACTTGCGAACACATACATAGATACACACACACACACACACACAGATACACATGTATATATGTATGTATCTATAGCTATAGCTGGCTATATTGTATTATATACAAAAGATGATGCTGTGTTGCGTCTATAAATTTCGATAGCCCCGGTGCCAAGCAAAACTAAAATGAAAATCGGTTTTGTTATTAACAAACAACAATTTCGAGCCACAGGCAGCCAACGTTTGTACACCATTGTGTACATATTCGATTAGTAGTTTTGCAATTGCACAAAATACATTTCACATCATCATCCTCAATCTTCATTATCAACAAAAGCCACAACAACAATAACAAAAACACATCATCGTATTCGTCATCATTTGTAGTATCTCTCTCAGTGCTCATCCGTTGCGACTTCATTTCAGGTATTCGTCTATATAGTTTTTCGATCCATAAGATTTTATACACATTATAAACATTTCGAGCGCGCGTGCTTCAGGAATATTTAGAAAATTCAACAGATAAAAATTAACAAAATGCGCGTTATAAATCATTTTGGAATATGCAAAAATTAATGTGCTGCACTTTAGAACTTTTCAGAAATATTTATGGAAACTAATGTTTCCAGAAGTACAAATAAATAGTATTTATTAACTGGATTTTATAATCGAAAGAAATATATATTAAAGTGATGAGACTTACAACAAGTATTTATAAAAAGTGAAATATCAAACTAAGATTTGTCAAAAAACCCATTAAGAAATTAATTGAATTAAAAAATAATAAAGTTCGTTGAATTTTCATTAACCACCTGGGATATGTTTTATGTTTAAATATTTTATATATATGAACATGAATTTCTTGTTGATATTATTTTGCGCAGAGCTTCTAATTATTAACTAATTATTTTGTCTTTTTTTTATAGCCTTTCAGCTAACCCAATGATGGCCTACGATATTAGTATAAAGAGCCATAACTTTGAGATGCCAACGATTGAAACTTGATCGATAATAAAAAGTCAAAGGCAAACAGAATCAAAAGCAAACCAAAAGAGAAAATAAGTTGTAACTTTCGCGTTTCAGTGAAATATCAACAAATTAACCACACTAAAACTCAACCTAGCAGAACTAACTTTAAGTTAAGGAAAAGTCAAACAACACAACAAACAACAACTCAACTAATTACGTAGCAAATACAAATAAAACACCAAAAAATTAACTAAAAACGAAACTTAGCGAAACGAATTACAAAGTTAGATTTAACAAAAAATACAACAAACAAATGCAAATGAAGCAGGAGCAACAACAACAACAGCAACAATTGAGAAGTAAATCAATGCGCAGCATACGAAAGCATAAAAAGCTCAAAGCGACAACAGCAACAAGAACAACAACAACAACAAAAAGAACAACACTAAGTAGTAAACACTAGAACAAGGAGAAGAAAAGGAAGAGAAGAAGCAACAGCAACAGCAACTGCAACACGAACAATAAGCATCGAGTATGCAACAGAGTGACCAACTAACGCAACAACAACTACAGCAGCAGCAACAACAACAGCTACAGCTACAACAACAGCAACAGCTGCAACAAAATGGCGGCGACATGGCCGCCTACACTGCCGCCCAGGCTGCCGCTGCCGCCGCCGCCGGCACCAAGCGCGCCCCAATGAGCGGCGGCCGTTTCGACTTTGAGGACGGCGGCACCTATTGCGGCGGCTGGGACGAGGGCAAAGCCCACGGCCATGGCGTCTGCACCGGCCCCAAACATCAAGGCGCCTATGCCGGCGCCTGGAACTACGGCTTTGAGGTATCCGGATCGTACATATGGCCCAGGTACGTTTTAAGCTTAAGATTTGTGTTTAATTTGATAATTGGCAAGTGTGGCAGCTGCTGTTAGAAATATGAGTTCTTCTATAGAAGAATATATATCTGATCTGCAAGGATATGCAATCTTCGGTCTGTCCAAGAAAACGTCTAATGGAATACTTAAAAATTAACCTTTTTAAGAAATAAGAGCTATAATTTTATAAAAGAACTCAATAGATTTAACAGTTCGGCGTGAATGAATAATATAAAATGCATCAGAAAGAATATCGATTGATAGATGTGGATATGGAATAAAAATATCATTTTAATAAATCATATAAATCAGTGTATGACAGAAGCTCAATTAAGATAAAAGGAACACAATGCACTAATTGAATTTATTTACACATAAATACATATTTAATTTGTCATCTAACAAAATATACAATAACAACTTATTTTCGTTGGCACAATTTAAATATTTTTCTTTCGATTATCATTAGAAAAATTCATTTGTATAGCAACTGATCGAAAACTTAAATTCTTTTCAAAGAAATATTTTCTAGCTAGTATATACAAAATCAGTCATTCATAGGCCCAAGTTTACACATAAATTAAGGTAGCTAAACTACTCTGTATATATATAAAACATCTGAAGGGGTATATACATTTTAAGTGCCGTACCTTTCCTGTTTACAAACTAATGTTCCGTAATCTTCGCAGCGGATCACACTACGAGGGTCAGTGGCAGAATGGACGACGACATGGTTTGGGCGTGGAGCAAATTGGTCGTCAGATATATAGGGGAGAATGGTCCAAGGATGGTCACAAGGGACGCTATGGCGTTCGTGAGAGCACTGTGTCGACGGCCAAGTACGAGGGCACCTGGAACGAGGGCTATCAAGATGGTTCCGGTTGCGAGACGTATGCAGATGGCGGTAAGCATAACACACGGCGTATACGTAATGCGGACAATGCTCTATGCATGAGATCATTTCGACTTTTGTTCTCTGGGTCCACTTTCAAACGAACAAACGAACGACAACAACAAGAAATAAGGCAGCTGAAATCAATTTGTTGTTCTATTTTACTTTTTGACGTTTCTGTAATAATTCGGCGCATGTCTTTCTGTGTACTCATCATATAGGCCATTTCAATTCTCTGTTGTTTTTTTTGTTTTTTTGTTTTTGGCTTTGCCTTGCCGGTTAGCCAAAAACTCTCGCACACAAAGTCAACCACACACACACACACACACACACACACACACACATACACAGACAGCAGAGTGACCGAAGCCTGACGTCATATTTTCCTTAGTCTTTAACGTTTTTCTTCTGAAACATTTTTGCAACATGAGTGGGTTTTTTCTGGGGAAATTCGGTTAGCTTGCCTGGCATCTGGCTCTACAGCTACAAATAATCTCTCCTCGCTGTTTGCGTATGTATGTTGTGGGTGTGTAATGCAGTTGAACAAATGGTTGTGTGTGCAACAATAATATGTGTGTTAAAAAATTATATATTTATTTATATATATATATAAATATATATGTCATTCAGTGTGTTGCGGCTATTCAGAGGATTGTTAAACAGAAAATCCTAAACCAAAATGTAATTAATTTGAAATTACACGATTTTAGTTAGTCAAGCTTCATAAGACTTTATTGGAATTTAGAGATAAGAAGATGGAAATAACAACTGCAAGATACTCTCTTTTTGAGTTAAAAACACGCAACATATTTACTGAATGGGGAATCTTTAACGGGGCTCATTAATATGTATTTATAATATACAGCTGTTTAAAGATATTCCTTTTTTTTGTATTCCATTATTTCTGGCTTTATTATCTTAAAAAGACAATTAGTCGAAAATATCTCATTTATATGTCAATTTCAATCAGGTTGCTTAGATCTTCAAATTGTTTTTTGAACAAATATTATTCTAAAGTTATTAAATTATTGGAATCTAAAGTCGTATTTATAATTAGTCTGATTAAGATTGCTTCTGAGTAATTGTATTCAATTACCATTATACGAATCCAATTATCTGGGAGTAGAGTATTGAAATACGATTATTACAGCTGGTTAACATTGAATTGTCAATCGAAGACGGAATAGACACAACTTACTTGACCTTCGCTTTGTTCTAGGGATCCTTTCTTTAGATTACAAGTCAAAGGCAACCTTCAGTTTATGGCCAGCTGGCGAATAGCTGCAGTAAGTTGAGTTAACTATGTAAATGTCTGTTTGCCTTGTGCCTTCTGCGTTTGTCCCTTCGTCAACAATAACTTGTCATTTGCAAAGCCTCAGCAAAACATTTGCTAATTAAATAACCCTACCTGTTTCGACATTCCGCCCATGAAAGGTACACTCAAAGTGGCCCAAGACACGTGGAGCCATTAATAGAATACTGCTAGTTACTAGTTACAGCAATACCTACGAATGGGTTACCAGCTAATGAATGTATTCCATGCTAAGTAGATGCAGTTCGCCTGGACTTCCGCCTGTCAAGACGAAAGCATTCCAATGAGGTCACACACTGCGGCTTCATTTATCATATTCATTTTAATTGGCCAGACCCAGAGACCCAGAGAACCAGGGAGACAGAGAGTGAGAGAGGGAGAGAGACTGATTTATTTTGTTGTTGCAGGCAAGTACCAAGGTCAGTGGCAGGAGGGGAAGCGGCATGGCTATGGCATACGCACCTCGGCGCCCTTTGGCCTCGCCTCGCATCATCGCCGCAAGAATCTGCACGCCTCGTTGAGCTCCCTGCGCAGCGGCGAGAATGGCAGTGCCGCCAAAGCGGCCGAAAAGACCGAGGAAATCCGTGGTGGATTTGTGCTTACCGCCAAATCGGATAAGCTGCCCGCGCGGCGCAACAGTCTCACCGAGAAGACGAAGAAGGGATTTCTGATGGTAAGCAAGCCAAATTTCAAAACATATTTGCAAACATTATTTGAACGTTGTCATCCTGGCAGGGTCTGAAAATGCGTAAGCAGCGCAGCACTGGTGATTTGGAGAAACGTGGCACTATTGCCTCAGGCAGCATAAGATCCACAATGTCATCGGCCTCATGGATTAGCACCGGCTCCGAGCAATCCAATTTGACGACAAAGTAAGTGTATTAACAACAATCGTTTACCCGTTGGAGTTCAGTCACTGTAGCTGGCAATCCAAGTTTAATTGAACTTAAGTTTACCGATTGAAACAAATGTGTTCTTTTCACAAATAATACCAATGTGTCTATCACAGATCTGCGCATACGGAGTCAAATGCGAGTTTCACTTTGGAGGACGAGCAGCTGGATCCCACGGTGGTGGAAACCTACATGGGTGAATGGAAGAAGGATAAGCGCTGTGGTCATGGCGTTGCCGAGCGCAGCGATGGCCTCAAGTAAGTGGACAACAGAATGCCCAGAATCGTATCAATAGTAATCCAGAACTCTGCTTCACATAGATATGAGGGCGAGTGGTACAATAATCGCAAGCATGGCTATGGTGTGACCACGTTCCGTGATGGCACCGTCGAGGAGGGCAAATACAAGAACAACATATTGATAACCAGCCAGAAGAAAAAGCATTTGTTCCTGGCACGTTCGCGCAAATTCCGTGACCGCATCACGGCCGCCGTCAATTCCGCGCAGCGTGCTCTCAAAATGGCCATGCAGCGCTCCGATATGGCCATCTCGCGCATGGCCACCGCCGCTGCCAAGGCCCAGAATGCCGACGTCGCCGCCGAGCAGGCGCGCATCGATTGCGAGAATGCGGTGCGCATGGCCCGTGAATTTGCGCCGGACTTCAAGCCGTCGGTGCTGGAGCGTTTTGAGAAGTTGCGCTATCGCGAACGTGAACGGTATCGCGGCAGCGGACCCGGCCAATCCAATGTGGATGCGGGTATGGGCATGTCGGGCATGCCCACCAAGCCGGCAATGTCCGCGCAACAGCAGCAACAGTTCTCGCCGGCGAGCAGCAGTGGCGCCGGCTCCGGTTCGGATGCATATGCAACGCAGGCGCAGCGACAGCAGCAATATCTGAACATGCAACAGCAGCAGCGTCGCATGTCGCAGCAGCAAAAGGAATCTGAGTGTCCGGTGCCCTCGTCCATGTACTCGCAACAGTTGCCCGTCTCGCCGCAGACGGATCTCTCCGGAATGGTTAGCCATGCGCAGCCCAGTCATGCGCAGGTTGTCAGCGCCATCAATCAAATGTATCACCAGCAGCAACATCAGCAGCAGCAGCAGCAACAACATCAGCAACTGCAGCAGCAACAACAGCAGCATCAGCAGCAGCAACAGAGCAATCCACAAATGAATCCTGCATATCAGTTTCAACAGCAACAACCGCCAGGCAGCCAGCAAGTGCCGTTTGGCGCTGGCAATGTCAGCAGCAGCAACATGTCGCCACAGCAACAATTGTTGCAGCAACAGCAGCAGCAGCAGCAACAACAACAGCAACAAAGACTCTACCTGCAACAGCAACAGCAACTGCAACAGCAGCAACTGCAACAACAACAGCAGCAACAACAACAACTGCTGCAGCAACAGCAACAACAGCAACTCCAACAGCAATCCTCACTGAACCCCTCGCCCAGTCACAATGCCGCCAGCCTGTTGCGTCGCGCCTCGCAGCAACAGCAGCTGCAGCAGCAGCAACAATTGTCGGATGCAGCAGCAATGGCTGCAGCTCAGCAGCAGCAGCAGCAACAACGGGGACAACGGCCACCGATGCTGGGCCAGATGGGCCAGCAGTCATCGATCGATCATTTTGATCACTATAAGCGGCCGCCGAGTCGCGACTCCTCCATCGATCGCTATGCACGCGCCGCGAGTCGGATGAGCGGAGGATTGGCTGGCTCTCGTCAGGCGTCGCTAGATCGGTCCGGTTTGGCGGATTCGGTGCCTAATGGCACCAGCACACCAGACGGACGTCCACGTGCGGGCTCAGTATTTCGGGGCACAACACCGGTGCCGGGCAATGCCGCAGCAACAACGACTGCCACATCGACCTCGACAATGACCGGCAATGGATCGCTGCCCTCCGGGGCCGGTGGGCGTTTATCGCGCGCTGGCACACCCAGCTTGGGGGGCGGTGGGCGTGCGCCTAGCCAAAGCAATACTGCGGAGCCGCTCTTCTCGTCACCCAATCAGCCCTTCGAGGATGTGCTGCTGCGTCAGCGTACGCTCGGTCAGGATATCATTCCCTCGCCCTTGCAACCCAAACGCACGGAGAGCTTGTATCTGCCGGCCAAGCCAGCAACGCCAGTGGGCGGAGCCATGGGCGGCAAAGGTGGTGGTGGTGGTGGTGGCGGCGGTGGTGGCAAGAAAATGAAGGTAAGTTATATTATGTTAAGTTAATTATGAGCTCTGTGGGTTAGCTGTGGCTGCCTTTAATTTGCAGCAAGTCTTAATTACTAGGACTGCTAATGAAATATACGAATATAATAATTATATTGCGAAAGACACCCTAAACTAACTTGGTCGGCATTAGTATTCATTTAGCGTAGTTCCTTGCCAGCAATTTCAATCACACTAATTTTTGTTATACTCTTAAAGAATAGAAATAGAAAGCTGAGCAGCAGCAGCTGATGTCTGTCGAAATAATCCAGGAAGTTGAACAAATATTTGAATTTGAATCAAAATTAAATAAATATTTTACGCTCATAAAGCTCTTCGTTGCACTCAAGGTACTTATCATTTAATGGCCATCTAAAGTTCAAATCAAAATTCAAGTCGTAATATTGTTTATATGCACTTTGATTTGGCTCATTAAAGTACACGGCGTCTGTGCTGTCTGTCGGATTCCCGGGGCAGCTACTATTTCCAAATATTTCATAGCACAGTTAATCCGCGCAATTAACTTAATTCAAATGCCATATATCTGGCCAAACGAGAATAGCTGGCAATATATATTATAAGATCTTCAAAGAGACCAAGAGAAAGATAAAAAGAGAGCAATAATTTCTCGGACCGAACATGTGCCCATTCTCCGGCTATTTATAGCCGGAACTGAGTGCACGCCAGGCGCACAATGGAATGCAGCAGTGGGGCAGCATCTCCACAGCAGCATCTCTGCTGAATTCACGATGAACACTTCACAAGTGGTGGTCCATTGGAAGTATTCGTCGCTGTCATTGCCGTCGTCGTTGTCGTTGTCGCGTCTCTCATTTGTCGCTCCACTGTGGCTATATTGGCGACAGTTTTCGAAAGCACTTTGGTAGTAGCAAAAGACGCGTTGGCTAAGAAAGATTCCTGCTCAAAGTTGATTGCCACTTTGTCGATAAACAAAATAAATAATATATTATATATATAGAATATATACATATATACATATATATATATATAAATATATACTCGTTTTAAAGAATTTCAAAGAGCATCGGTCTTTCATTCTTGTTGTTTGGCTCATTGCCGTGCGTTGCGACTATTTTTGGCCATTTGGCGCTTTGCTGGCAACAGACAACCACAACCACAACAACGACAACGGCAACGACAACAACTGTCGACTGACGACTGTCGGCATAATTAGTGCTCAGTAAAAATTGTAGCGTCATGTACAACTCGTTTACAAGTTGGAGGTGGCGCCAATAGACTGAAGGACGCTTATGCAAGCTAGCTGAAAATTGTCAGAACCTAGCTAAAACACGTACACAAACACATCCCACAAACAACAACAACAAGAAGAACAACATGGACTGGTATCCGGAGGAGGATGAGGAGGACTTGATGTTCTCGCCGGCGTTGTTGGCGCGTCGCGCTAGTGAAAGTTGGATAGTTGAACCGCCCGTTGAGGTGCAGCACTTTCTGCTAAATTTGCACAAGTTAACATTTTTTGCAATTTTCACGTTTTGGAGGAGGTGTCGCTATCAACTATTTGTCATTCGTAAATTGTGTACCTAAATTAAAGAAGTTGGTCTAAAACCCGCTCAAAAATAATTGCTTATAAGGCACAATCCATTCGTCAAAATTAGAGTATTTTTACAAAGCAACACCTCCAAAAAACACGAGAAGAACGTTTTAGTTGCTATAAATAGTTTTGACAAAAGAAAACTTGAAAATTACAAATTTTGATTTGTGCCATATGCGTTAGATAAGTCACCACCAAATGTGTTGCATGACTAATGCATAGATCTTTTATCTTTGCTTGCCCGTAGACGGTGCCCATCAATGTGTCGCTGCAGCGTAAGAAGTCTATGCCAGATTTTCAGGAGCTGCCGCGCGCCACGGAGGCGATGAGTCGGGAGGAAGTCTCCGCCTTGGGCTCGGCCCGACGCGAGGCTGTGCGTCGTCAAATCGAAGTCAACGAACGCCTCCGAGCGAATCCCTTGCTGTATTTGGTTAGTCCGCAAGTTAAGGTGAGTTAAGCTGCTCTTATACCTTATATACAATAAATATTGATTACCTTGCAGTATATGAATATTATTTTATTCTACACGTTCCCCTCATATCGATAAAAATCGATTATCGATACTTATTTTAATTATTATCGTCCAACTAATTATAATTTCTTTGACAGGATTGGTTTGTGCGCCAACAGCTGATGCTGCTCGTGCTGTTTGTCAATGTGCTATTGGCGCTATTGTTTGTCAAGATGCTTACCTAGCGCCGGATGCGCAAAATCACACGAAACCGTTGCAAAACAACAACAACAATAACAACAGCAGCAACCAACAAAGCATCTGAAACTATTAAGGTTTGCAGTTTTCAAGCCATTGTCAAGTGTCTGTGGTGAATTGGAGGCGTACATACAGTTTTGTGGTCAGTGCACGTGCAGTTTGACATGCAGTGAGTGGACGCTGTGTTTTTGTGTGGTGGAATTTATTTTGAATAGGGCTAAAGCTAACAATTTTTAGCATTTGCAGTAAACCGATTAAATTACATATATTTAAATATATATTTAAATACTATATGTATATCAATATGTATAATAAACACAACAAATTGAATTAAAAATTAGACTGCAGCCAAATTGAATAACAAAAAAAAACCAAATATGAAAGAAAACAAATTTAAATTATAAATGCAGAACATCAGTGCACAAATTATAGAAAATTAAATAATGAAACATTAAAATGGCTGTGCAGTCATTGCATCAAATTCAAATTTGACAAGCCAACCAAACAATTTATTAATTTGTGGCTAATGAAAAAAAAACAGAGATAGTAAAAGTAAAAGTAAACTAAAAACTATACGCAAATCAATTTAACGAATTTTTCTACACATTTAATGTAAAAGTAATATACTACATACATATATAAATGTAAACAAAAACCATTTAAACTACACTTTAACATTATCAATATTTAAACAATACACACACACACACACCCGTACACATATACATACATAAACGATTTCATACATACACGTATATAAATACATATATTTAAACTATGGCTATAATACAAGAAGCAAGTTTTAGACAAATGCAAAAATACAAAAACCAACAAATTACTATTTCCTATTTGCAATTGAAATTAAATTTAGTCAGCAAGCTAATCAAAAAAGGCAACTAAATAATACTTAAAAAAAAAGAAAAACAAATTGTATTTGTATAATTAGCGAAATTGTGTGGGACCTAAAACGACAACAACAGCAAAATGATAAAAGAAACAAAAACAAATTTTTTAAATACAATACAAAAATATTTGAAGCGCAAATTGCGCGCTTTGTTTTGGGCTGAAAGAAAAATAAGCAACAACAATTTTGGAGATCAAACTAAACTACGTTAAAGTAAATAAATGATAATGCGAAATATTGAGATTGTTGATGAATGAAGCTGTATATATTATAACTTTTAAATTTATCATATAACTATAACATTTAATTATTTTTCTCCATACAATTATATACTACATATTTAATTTCATAGCTGAAATTATGCCATTTTCAAAATGTTTGCAATTTATTTGTTTTTAGTTCCATATCATTTCAAATATATTATAATTATTATTATTTAATTTTTAATTTGTTCTTTTTTATGCATATATATTATTTTAAAAATAAAAAACTCAAAATTGCAAGCACATGTGCGTGCAAAAGTATTTATTTTTTTTGGTGTTCCTTTTTTTATTAAATTTAAAAAAAAATAAATATATATATATATATATATATATATATAACTCTCAAGTGCAATTATATAAGCTGTAAAACTTTCTGCTTTCTTCAGTTGCTAATTAATGTTGGAAATTGGCAAATTGTTTGACCTACAAGCAGAAAAACTTACAAATTGAAAGACTTGAAACTGAAAATTGTTGGCTGATGTTTGAATGGAAATTTAATTTGTGCTAGCAATCGGAAAACTAATTAATAAATATAAACATAAAAACATGATATTGGCATACATTGCATTAAACAAAACAAAACGAAACAAATTTAAATTATGTATATAAATAAGTAAGCCAACATACATATATACTTACTTATATCAGATGTGCAAGCATAACATAAATGAACAAGCTCGAAAATTATGAAAATAACGATCAAATCTTATTAAATGTTATCAACAAAAACATATATCAAAAAAGAACGCATAATGAAATGAACTTTTTCAAGGCTATAATAAAGCAACAAGAAATTATACTTTAAAAACATAATGATTATTTGTAGTTTTCGTTGGTAAAGTTATTCTTAAATTGGACATTACCATTTCACTTAATCTTCTATTAAGCTTTCTAATATTCCAAGCAGAAAGGCTGTCATATCAAATGGGTTACTTGGTTGACTTTAAATGGGCGATCGTAACTTGTGTCGGTAAGTATTTTACATTGATATTATATTAGTTCTAAGTTTCTATTAGAATATTATTGTTGCAATATTAGCTAGAAACTGTTTTAAAATATTAAACATTTTGAAGAATATATCCATAAGCCGATCTGTTGCAATCGATTCTCAGAAAATCAAATTTTTAAAGCATACTTTCAGGATGGACCAAAACGCTAGGCATTCAAATTCATACAGATTCTTTAAGGACATAGTGCACTAGGATCTTTAGGACTTGCGCTACCAATGAAGAATATTTAAGTAGCATATCAATAAAAACACAAACTTTATATGTATACGAAACGCTTTATTATCTTTTTTAATGTTTTTTTTTAGCATTATCAAAAATTTGGGAGTACATAATTCGCGATTGCTTGTTGATGTTTTGTTTTTTGTTGATTTCAGCATTTTAGAACAATACGAGGCACTACACATAATCATTTGACTCACATCGTATGTATAAAAAAGTTAAGTATATTGCTAGCATATTGTACTATATAGAGCTGTATATTATTATAATCGATGAAATTGGCAATTCTTGAAATAAACGAAACTATTATATATTATATAAATATATTATTTATATATATATATATATATATATATATGTATATATTTATATAAACATATATATATATATATAAATGTCTGTAAGTATGTATGTTTATATAGTATGATAAAAAAACTTGGGTCAATCTAACGACACCTTGCTTGCATCCAAAACTATTAAACGCACTTCAAAAACAAATAAAATATAATATAATTACAACAATGAAACCCGTTTAAATGGCTTTAAGCGCAAGCAAAGCGCTGAATCGAGGTAAAAAAAAGAGCAAAAGCTGTTAACAAGAAAGACAAAAGGCACGCATTGCATGACGTCTCATAACGCGCCTGGCTTCAGGGAAAACGATAACTTTGGTCTTGAATTATTTTTGCCCAATATGACCTTTTGCTCCTCCTTGACACGCTTCTCCTGCTCTTTGCGCATACGCTGGCGCTCCTCATCCATCAAGCGCTGCTCCTCAATGATAGCTAAACGTTCTTCGGCCTGTGAAAGCAAATGTATTTTATATTGAAGGTCATCATTAACAAAATTAGAAGCTGCTCAGACTTACCAATTTCCTTTGGGCCTCTTCGATTTTGCGATTGTTTTCGGCCAAAATTTCTTCGAGCTCTTCGCGTTTTTGTTTTTCCTCCTCCTATAAAACCCAAATAAAATTGCGTATTAATAAATCACATTTAGCGGTTTATGGAGTGCTTAAGAATAGTTATTGATATATAGAAACGGTTGCTTTAACATCGATGACGCAAACTGTGCGACTTTAGACGCATTTATTTTTTTTGTGTTTTTTTTCTTTGTATATGGGCTGCATAGACAGTTAAGATCTAAATTAATGTTTTACAATAAGTTACATAGAGATATTGGTAGAAAGTAAAAAACATTTAGAAGTGTCTAATAAAAACGTTTAAATAATACTTGGTTTTTTTCGAATTTAATTTTTTAACAATAAGAGCACACAACATTAACAAATGTACTAAAACTTGATTTGATTAAATTTGTTCTTCTTTTTGTTTTTTTTTGTATTTTTTTTTTTGTATTATAATTTTTTTTATTTTTTTGTTTTGTTTTGTTGCTACTTACTATTTGAAAAAGTTCATTTTTCCAGTTTAATGGCTAAATCATTTTGTAATTTATTTTTTGGCTTTGCTGCGAATTTGCCGTTTGATTTACGGTATTCAGCTACATAGTTGTTTGATCAAGATAACATTACATATTGTTTTTTAAAGAACAAATTAAAAGGCATTTCGATTAAAGTTAAACGATAAATGTTTGGAAAACAAACACACGTAAATTAAAGTTGGCACGACAACAACAACAAGTACAGTCATACCCATTGACAAATGGAAATCCGGCTTATGATTAACGATAACAATCTTAAGACTGAAGTCGCTTTGATGTTGTTCCTATGACGAATGTTCCTAGTGGGAAATGCTTAAGATTCCTTGGAGTCTATTTTGTATATGTATTTATGATTTTTTTTTTTGCTTTTGTTTTTTTTTTTCGTTAAAATTAAGCAATAGTTGTTCACACTTAACACACTTTCAGTTCGTACATCCATTTTCGTATATATTTCACTCGATTCGTTTGCTTAAGGAACTCACTCACCCGTTTTGGTTATTGATAGATCGGCTTAGGGACCTTTTCAGGCTTTTTTTTTGGCATGCTGCGTACAGTTGGATCTAAGCTAAGCTAAGCTATGCCCCAAAGATATGTCCAACTGAACAACTGGCCTGGCTGGCTAACACTACTGAACTTTGCTACTCGACAACAACTGTACGTATATACGTATGGTTATTTGTTTGGGTGTGTGTGTGTGTTTTTGTGTGTGCGTGTGTGTGTGTGTGTGGTACGGTACATCTTGAATGATCTCCTAGAGAGCTGTTGTTGCTCTCATCCGTGTGGCCGAATTCTCTTCAAAGTTGTGTCCGGCTTGGGTTCGGGTGGGGAGCGGGGCTACATACACCATATATATTTATATATATTGATATGCATATATATTCACACACACACATAAATACAAATGTACATGTGTATACTCTCTGCTTGTCTTTGTTCATATTCCCTCTCGCACACATACTCTTTCACACACACATTCGAACGATAGAAGCATATAATCGCGCATTATTATGTAACAACAACAACAACGAGTTACAGTAACCAATCAAAATGAAAGCAAACAAACATAAGATGAATCTAAAAGTAATGCAAAAATAGAATTATGCACATTTTGGGGGGGCGTCAAAACTGCAAGTCACATTTTTGGCTTTGGTATTCTTTTTCTTTTGTTTTTTTTCTTTTTTTGTAGAAAAAAATAAATAATAATTACAAAATTATTGTTGGCAAGAAGGTAGAGGCGAAATGTGCAGCGACGTGCCCAAAGGCTCAGTGTATTTGTGCATGAGTGTGTGTTGCGCTTATCAACTAAAAATATTACCGTTTAAAGATAAGATGAGATGAGATAAGATGAGTTGAGATGTTAGTATTGAGCCGTGCTTTGTTGTTAACCATGTTCTTGATACCAAACCGATTCCATATTTGAATTTAAGAATCTACCGCGGGTTGTTCCATGAAATTCGGTAATCAATACCAATATATACATATATATATACATATAAAAGACATAGAATAGCCAAATAAATACTATTTAACAATTCGATTTGAAAAGTAACGATGAAATTGAAATAGTATTTAAAAGAATAGATTTTACTTTGTATCATACTGACGAGTGACTAGATTATAAGTTTTTATTGTGGAAGTAGGATGATAAAAATAAATAAATAAATTTATTATGGACTATGTGCATGCATGCACATGCCAAGTTTTTAACTAAAATGGAGCTGAATTGGCTCACAAGATTTTATTCGATGAATTATTAGTAATAAATCATTTAATATCATCTAACGAATTCCCTACAAATTTAACAACACAAAACTAATTTTGTTAAGAAATACCGTGACTGACTTGTGAGCAAGAACATGGCTGTGTGCTTTTTGTGATTCACAATTAAATGGAGATTAGTAATGAGGTTAGACACACACGCACAGACACACATAGGCACACTGAGCCATTTAGCAGCTGCCAATTGCAGTTGGTAATTGGAAACGTCGCTACACAAATTCGGGTAATCATTTTTTTCAAGACGACTGTTTGCAACTGCTGTTGGTTTGTACGTGTGTGTGTGTTCTTGTGTGTGTTTCGGTAGTTGTGGTTGTAGTTGTAGTTGTATTCGAAGGCTGTTTATTGTGCGTGTATGGTTGTATTTTTGTGTATTGTGGTAGCAGCAGTCGTCCAGCGAAATCTGAATACGAGCACCTACCTCGCGGCGGCGTTCTTCATCGCGTATCTGCTCGCGTCGCTTCTCCAGTTCCAGCATCATTTCACGCTCCATTTCCGCTTTGGCAGTATCAACGCGTCGATTCACCTCCTGTTCGATTTCATCGCGCCGCTTTTCGAGCTCCTCCTCGACACGTTTCTTAACTAGCATTTCAATGCGTTTGGCCGCCTGCTCCTCAATCGTTTTGTGTTCCGCTTCCTTTTGACGACGCTGCCGTTCCATTTCGGCAAGTCGCTCCACCTGCAGTAAATTTTGCTGCCACCAAGAAAATATTTGTTATTGATGGTGTTGTTTTTTTTTGTTGTTATTGCTTACCTCATCCAGCTTCTTGAAGCGGCTGCGCTTATGTCGGCTACGCTGCGTCTCATGGTCCGAGTACTGCTGGCTATCACTGCTCGTTGAGCTGGAGCGTTTGCGGGACTTGGAGTGCGAGTGCCGGTGATAATCGCGTTCAGTGTGTGTATGTGTGTGCAGGTGCTGAGTTGTGTGCCTGTCGTTGCGATGTCTGTCGCGTTCTCGCCGACCATGCTGGTTAATCTCTGTCGACTTGTCTCGATCCGTGCGACTGCTGCGTGTGCAGCTGCTCCGCTCGTGCTCGTGGCCCCGTTCCCTGTCGCGATTGTGTGACTTACTCTTGCTGCGTTTCTTGTGTTTGCTCTTGTGGTGGCGACGCTTTACCGATGGACTGCGCGATCGTGAACCCATTTCATATATATGTATATATAGATATATATATATATATCTATTTAATAAAATTTTTTTCCTGTTTTCACAAAATTTATTGAATGCCTTGCTCAGTTTTCACAACAAAATCAATCCAATGATGCCTTAAAAATAGTGTTGCATAACGCTGAAATGCGGTATTTTATTGACACCGTTTGCAGCACTGTATTTTTGATATTTTTATGGACAATCACAGCCGCCTTGCTTTTTCTTATCCATATCCAGTATCATTTCCTGGCACTTATCAATCATTTCTTGATTGTCCTTGAAGCCCACACACTCCTTGGCCGCTTCTTTTGCCAGCCATTTAAGTTCCGTGTGCTCCTCGGAGAGAACGGGTTTCTTATTTGGATTCCGAAGCTCGGCTAGCCAGTATATCACAATCTTGGGTTTCCCTTTGACAATGTAATTCAGAGTTAACGGAGTGTCACGATAGATAATCAAATCCGATTCGTCATAACTGTAAAACAAAATCCATTGCTGACATGTCTCTTGTTGAACATATTATGCACTTACCCGGCTTCTTCTTTAGTTTCCCTCAGGGCTGTAGTAAAATCATCCTCACCGGGATCCACATGACCTTTAGGAGAACTCCAGTGAAAATCACCATAGGATGCCTTTAGCAGTAAGTATTCGATTTGCCCACAGAGGCGCCGGAAGAGGACGAATCCAGCTGCTCTCTTGCCCATCTTTATCGTTATCACTGACTCTCTAGCAGTGTTGTATAGTGTTGAATTATAAAGCTTTACGAAATGAAGATTATATGATCGTAGAAAAGGCACAGGTTTTGTTTGCATTACTGGTGGTCATCATGCTAATTATATACATGGAACTATAACTAATATGGAACATTAAGCAATGTGATAGGTTTTTTTTTATAAATATTTTATTAATATTCAAATCAGTGCTGCTTATTACAGCACTATGTACCATTTAGTTGAAAATGTACCAAAATCGATAAATTGTACCAAATAAGTTAGACGCTTACCAGCACTGGCAGCCGAATCTCGTTTGACTCGCCGCACATGTTGTGCGTGTAAATTTATTACATAAAAATCACTGAAAACTGTGCGGAAAATGTTTGCTTTGCTGCGTCGCTTTGCAAGCGCCTCCATCACAAACAATGGCAATAGTCGCTATGCCTCCTTCACCGTCAGGGATGTGATGCGCGACACTTCGGATGAGACCGGTACGCTGCTCAACCGTTTTGCCAAGCACATTGCCATTGAGCGCTACAAGTGCGAGGAGCACGTGCTGCCCCCAACGACTGTACGCTACTCGGACTATTTTCCCATATCGGATGAACGGTACTTTCGCCGCTCCGTGGAGAAGACGGCGGCAACACAGCTGCCGGCACTGATTATATACGCATCCAGCTATCGTCCAAATGCAGCTGGTCCCATGTATGCGATGGCCCTAAACGCGTTGGATGCACATGCAGCGTCACAGCTGCAGCAGATGGATACCAGTACGGTGCTGGAGACACTATATGCATTCTTGTTCCTCATTCCCAATTGGATCAGACGCACGGATTTCTATCACGCGGCCATGCGACGACTGACGGCGGAGTCATCAACTGGCAGCAAAGAACGTTTTATGCAAATCTGTTTCTACCTGGGCCTGTACAAAAAATACCAGCAAAACGATCTGGAGACGCTGCTCGCCACACAGCTGGCCGATCATTTGGAGAACTTGAGTCCTCTGGATCTCGCGCTGATTAGCAATGCGGCTTACAAGACATCCACACTGGTCACCGGCGCCGTGCGGGAAGCTTACGAAGCTGCCCTGGTGCAAGCTACTCTGAACTTAAAATTTGAGCCCGACAACTTCGCGGATGATGCGATGCTCGTCTGCTATGTGAAAGCCTTGCGTCTGCAGCGCGTACAGGATGAACGCATCTGTCACCATCTGAAGGAGATTTGCCTGCAGCCGTCCCAGTTGTGGCAATTGCAACCGCGGGGCTTGGCCCACATATTCGCCTATTTCGCTGAGTTGCGGTGGGATGAAGCGGATTGCCTGCAAGCGCTTGTGGAGCGCTTAATGCAATTGAAACCCAGCGAATTGCGTGCAAAGGATTTGGCCACATTCCTCTGGAGCTGTGCTCAACTGAATTGCGACTTAAGTGCCGCACAGCTGAGGCAACTAGAAGTGATTGCGTTGCGTAAATTGGATCAAGGCGAATATGACCGCTTCGCCGATCAGTTGGTTGACACTTGCCTTTCCCTGTGCACCATGGGTCATCACTCCAAGCAGCTTTTCGATGCGGCTGAAGAGCTGAAGGCCGCACAACAGCAACGCCAGCGTGCCCAGCCCAAAGTGGACAGCCGTCTGATTGTGCTACGATCCGCAGTGGCCATCGAGCAGCCCAACTGGACGGATATGAAGATGCAGCAGGCATTCAAGGAGTTTACACGTGTGCCTGGCTATTTGCTTCAGCAACGCGACGACCTTACCGCCTACGCCAAGCAATTGGCCAGCGATCCTGAAGTGGAGGGCGTGGATCTCGTTTGTCCCATTGCTGGCATCAATTTGCCCAGTTTGCGTGTCCAGACGATGGGTGAACAGTCTACGGTTTATTTTATAGAGTTGCTGACGCCTCAACAGACGCTAAAATTCAGTCGAAAGGCGACTTCGCTGATGCGTCTGAAGCGTCGTCTCTTGGAATCCGTGGGTCAGCGCGTGGTTCTGGTGAGTAATGCAATACGAACTCAATATGCTCATCCCAACTGACGTGCAACGTATTTCAGCTGCACTCTGGCGACATGGCAACCAATGCGCAGGCGCTACATCAGCTCTTGGAGCAGGCGACAGGCGCTAAGAGTGAGACAAAGCAGGCGGTGCACAGCCTGAACAATTAAAACATGTGATATATGAAATATATATATATTTATAGAGTCCACGTCATCGAGTAGCTTTAATTAACAATTCTTTTTTAATGTAATTAATTTAGTAAAATTAACACTAAACGTAATGTTCAACAAGAATTTCTATATAATACAGGGGGCAAGTTTAAGTTCGATCCTAAACGGTCAACACTCATCTGATCGATTTGATCTTGGCCTTGAGCACAATATAGGCGCCCAGTCGGAATATGAACATCATGACGCACAATGCAATGATATCCTTCCAGAATTGATCGCCACGCATGGTAATCTCCTCGAGAAACTTCTTTGGATATCTGCAGAACATAATTGGTTAATGGATTAATGAATCAGCTTGGACAATTGGACTCTTGGAATTACCTATAGTGGCAGTATGGCGCCTCATCGCATGCCAAAGTGCCACGATTCAATCCATAGATGGCGGCTATAAAGCCTTCGAGGCCGTAACGCAAATGGGATATGTGACTGCCCCATTTCAGATAGCTGGGCAGATCACGCAGTGTGACACCAAAGCCGGCAAACATCATCATGGGAATGGTCAGCACTGGAGCCAGGAAAGTGCCGTTGACCACATCAAACCAAGCGCCAATGATGAGACCAATGCTCTGACCCACAAACACAATCAGCAAACTGATCGCAAAGAACATCCAGAAGCGCACCCATTCCAAGGGCTGATAGCTCCACAGATATATGATGACCGTAAACAACAATGTGCTTAACAGCTGCAAAACATAAATTTTTATTTTTTTAGATGGAATCATTTAGTGAGTCAGGTGTAGAACTCACCGTTATGGGCAGGTCAATCAGCGTCAACGCAAAATAGTAGGCCTTCAGGGAGTACCAGCGATTGAAGTGCTCCTTGATTAAAATGGTCATCTCGATGGGGACTAGAATAGAGAGGAATATACTATCAATATAGCACTGAAATATAAACAATTTTGGTTATTGTTAATTAACTAGGCAAATCTCAAACAAATTCTTTAATTTTCATCAATTTACTTTTAAATTAACTTCACCAGGATGTAATTTGTTAAAGATTTCACCCAATCAATACTCACATGTTAGTACTGTCAACATCATCGTTGTCATAGAATGGTGCATCAATATGGCGAATAGTAAATTATAATTATCAAGAACTCTGGAACCTTCGCGACCGGATCGATCGTACATGGCTCCATAGAGCACAGCCACCGCAATGTTGACGATGATGCGCAGATGTGTCATTGTCGTATCACGCCTAGCCTTAATGTAGCCGCGTCGGAGCAGTACGGAGCACTGATTCATGAAGCTGGTGTTCTCCATGGAAACGTTTTTTTTGCGCCTGGGTATGGGATGCTTGCGCATCAGAGTTTCAGCACGCAGCACCGAGCCGGGATCGTTGAACCAGGTCAGGCAGCTGCCGTTCTCCGAGGCGCTCTTCAGCGTATCGATCTTGTCAAAGCCATACTCGCCACAGGCCAACTCAATAACTAAAACAGCAAATGGGAATCGTTTTAATCGGCTTGCAAGCAGTTTAATTATGGCACTCACTGTAATCAGCTGGATTGTGGTACATGGGGCAGGGCAACTCCACAGAATGCAGGAATGGCACCATCTTCTGGGTACCGCCTTGGTAGACACAATTGCCCGCTGAGAGCACATAGACCTGGTCGAATATCTGGAATAGCTTGGCAGTCGGCTGATGAATGGTGCAAATGATGGTGCGACCCTGGGATGTAAGTCGTTTCAATAACTCCAGGACTTTGGTGCAGGAACTGCTGTCCAAGCCGCTGTAAAAATGCGAGTAAAAATCAGAGATTAGGCATTGCTTTAATAGTTTCCAAAGTCTTCAAGCACTTACGTCGTCGGCTCGTCCAGGAACATCACAGTGGGATTATTAATCAATTCCATGGCAATGGATAGCCTCTTCTTCTGACCACCAGACAGACGCATTGTCAGCGTCTGGTCGTGATCATAAAGACCCAACAGCAACAGAATATCTTCAATCTACGGATTGTGAGTTAACATTAGATACTTGCAAGGAATAATTGTAAATACTCTATGAACTTACTCTTCTTTCCTTCTCTTCGTAGGTGACATTCTCACCCAATTTAAGATCGGCTGCTATATGCATATTCTCGCTAACCGTCAGCAAAGGCTGCAGACGATCATCCTGTGTAATGTAGCAGGACATGCGACGAAATGAGGCTGTTAAGGGATGCACTTTTTAATATAAGGAATCCCATTTGATTTATTTTGAATTACTCACGCAAATCACGTCGTCGACCATTGAGCAGTATTGAGCCATCTACGCCGGTTGTTTTGAAACCAGATAGAGCATCGAGCAATGTGGATTTACCAGCCCCAGATGGACCCATTATGGCAATCAGCTGGCCACCCGGAAACTTGCCACAGACATTATGCAAAATCTCTTTTTCACCTGTTGAATATATAGATATGGATATAGAATATATAGTCTCTTATGAATACCTGAGAAAACGTATATATAATTATTACAAGCAATAAATATGCAACATCTAAAAGCTAATGTAGCGAAATCATGGAGTGTTTATTCAGTCCAACCAACAATTATAGACATACAATAAATGTCAATTATCGACATCAATCTGAGCTGAATGCACTTTTAGAACTAATTGTAAACTTGAGCTATTCTTGACAGATTAATAACCCCTTAACTTAATGGAGGCAGTCTGTTTTAATTAAGAATTTGTATCAAAGGCTGGAGCTATTTAACATTTAAATTGCAATTAAATTTAGTTGCGGAAAATAATGTTAGTCGAGAATTTGTGTTGAAATTTTTACAAACTGGCAAATGAGAGCAAAGTTTGTAAAAACAATGATAATAAGCATTACTTTTTGTAAAAGTCACTAAGACAATGACATTAAGTACATAAACCCAAAAAACATTTTTTGGTTCCTGTTAAGTTTAAGTACTTAATGACCTCTGTCTAAATGCTGTGCGCTCATTTTAATGTTTATTGCTACGAAATATCGAATTTAAAGATAACCAGTCTCTGCCAGAAACTGCCAACATTTTCAACAAATTTTGAATGGTATGGAAAAGAGCTCAACACAAACAGTTAATGTCATCACATCATAATCAGGCCGTAATCAAGTTATCAGGGACAAATTGCTGTCGATATCAAAGTTAACTTATTTATATTCGTGGACTTTGAAATTATATAGCGAACTGCCTACAAAAATACGACAATAAAAGACACATTAACAAAAGAAATTGATATGATATCTTAATGAATACTAAATGCTTTCTTCTCAAAAGCAACTTCCCAAAAACAGTCACTAAGTAACTAATTCAAATAGGGGAATTCGTTTGTGTTTCATAAAAATTTTAATCACATCATTAAAATATTCATAAGTACTTTTTGTTATAGCCACATAATGTTTGAGCTTTGTACAAACTGCGTAGACAAGTTTTTATGCTCAGTTCAGCGAATATTGTTTTGTAGAAATGACTAATGACTAGGCAGGAGCAAGGGCGTGTTATCTAATCAATAGTGGCAACCAAGAGCTGTTGTATACATAGAATCAGCTAACAGGTAGTTACTCGTGTGATTGTTAACTGTTAAAGACAAATGCCTGCTGGTTCTTACTGTTTGCATGCCTCGTATTCTTCAAAAAACAGACCGCTCCATAAAACCGAATAGTATTTTTTATTTTTATTTTTTGCATTTTGGCAATCTTATCGGCTGGGGGCAAGTCTGAATTGATATGGCCTGGCCATAACGGATCAAGCACAGCTGTGATCATAAATGCCATTACACTCACCTCGATTAAAGCCCAATTTGACCGTCAGCGACAAATCCCTGAACTCAATATCCACCGCATCGCGCGGTGGCAAATTGGACAGAGCATCCATCTGATCCAAATCTTCTTCGTCTTCGGCCACAGATTCCAATGGCGTTTGCTTGACGGCAACCAACTGAGAGGCAGTTGTTGTGGCAATCGCAGTGGGCGTTGTTTTGGTTGCTGTGTTTGTCTGTCCATTGCGCCAGCTGCTCGCATTTGTCATTGGCACTGTGGTGGCATTGTAAACACCGCGTCCCACCTGCGATGTGCTGCTCTCACCAATCTCAATGCCCAGTCCAATGCCGGCTGTGCCGCCATCGCTGTTGAAGAACTGATCTCGCGCCGACATCATATGTTTCGATCAGCTATAAAGAATTTAATATTATATAATATTATAGTTTAATGATTATAAGTGAAATCAAATAATATAACAACAAGCTCCATTGCTTTATAAATATCTTCCTACATCATTTATAGACAGAACAAAGTTTTAAGTTACCAGGCTTTAAGTAACCTATTAAAAAATTCAAAAGAAATTGTGTAGTTTGTAATTTATAACAAAAAACAACTTATTGTATTCATATCTAATCGAAATCGCCAAATAAATTAATCACTATTCTTTGCCTAAGCGCTCTATTTTGTTTTTATTTCAAAAGTCGAATTTTGCAACGGGTTTTGGTCATCAATCGCTCGATTGATTTGCAAATGTTGCAACGGGCGGCGTCATGCATCAGGGAGCTGAGGCACATTTAATTCGGGCATGCTTGAGCCAAACAACTGCGCAGCCGAAGTTGCCATCTAAGCCAAACGGGTTTGATGACGTGCTATTTTGCACTCTGATCGCTCCAGAGACGAACGTGGACAATACACATGTGTGTGTCTCAGCACTGTTTGTAACTTTAAATCATTCACCTTTGCACCTGTTGATTATTATTGAAATCGACGCATGCCTCCCGCTTCAATTTTCCATAGAAAATGACCAAAGCAAAAGGGTTCGACACAAAATAAATATACCTATATATATTTTGTTTCGTATTTTGTCACTGAATTACGCAAATGTTGATTGTTTTTGTCACCTTTTGTTTATTTTGTTGATCACACAAATCAAAGTGCAATAAAAATATTCACATTAATTAGCTGAATGCGGAAGATCACGCACAAATATTGAGCCGCATGCATTGAAATAGGTGGGTCCATACCTGCCGCACGTTATTTACATATACCCTTTTTTCTTTATGCAAGTGCTTAAGTACTTAATGCAATTAATTAGCATACAGATTTCATCTTTTATATCAACGGTTGACTGACTGATTGACTGAAGACTGATTTCCACATCGACAAGTCGTTTAACTGCCCGTCGTATTTGAGTACGACAAATATTTCAATTATCTGCAACAACCTCAATAAAGTATTTAATATTTGCGTACACAAATATAGCACGCAATTTACTCTACATTTTATTTTTTTGTAATATATACGCTTTTTTTCAACAGCCCCATTTAATAGAAAATGTATTCTGTAAGATCAAGGTACAGCTGGCAGAAGCAAAGCACAATTGTAAATGTAAATATGTAAAGGCATTAATCGAAACAACAAAAGCATTGTTTAATAATATGCATTGTTTAATATATGGCATAAATATATTATTATATGTGTTGACAACAAATACAATCGGCGCTGACTTATGACGAAGTATTCGCCATGTGTCATCTTTAACCCGCAGCTTGAAGACCTTATCAGCGAATCATCTGTTCATCATCAGAACACACTATGTAGCAAAAACAAGTGCCTTTAACTAACTCATTGAAGGTGAATTCAATACTAGAAAGGGAAATGCACATCTCCGCTGGGCATTGCACTTGAACTACTTACAACAAATGCTGTTCAATTGGCAATGTCAATGCCCTCTCCATTTCCCTATACATATATACATGATTATACCTATCTGAAGGGCTACACCAAAACTACGCCATTTACGTTTATGCAACATAGACGATGAGTCTTTATCAGCAGAATTTCAATATTGATTGACACTGATTTGTACCGTGTTTGCAGTTCTCTTTTGATATTTGCCTGCGAAAAGCACAAAAAAAACTTGCGTGAGAAACTCTTATTACACCTTAAGGTTATTCCTTACGTTGTTGTAACTGGCTTGCTCTTCAGCAATTATAATAAAATAGTATTACTCATACACACATAGCCCATATACTTATTGTATGCTGTGTGTGTGTGTGTGTGTTGTTTGTAGCCACAATATTATGTATACTTTGCTCGGAAGTAAACCGGTTCGGAAGAGATTCTACGCTGCAGTTGTAAGCAGGAGCATCAGCGGCAGGCAAACCCATAGCACAGAATAGAAACTGCTGCCTCCCATTGGAATCAGGGCATTTATACACCACTATTTGGTTTGTAAGACAATAAATGTGTCTTAATTATTGTGGCTAGTGGATAATCAGTTAATTAATTAGTGTTTTCGATAAGATTGCATAACTCTGAAATAAAGTTACAAATATATCTACAATGAATCTGGAATCTAGTTTATCTAAAATTCTTTTCAAGAGCAGCTTTCGATGAACTAGTTTCGAAATAATTATAAACTGTAAGCTAGACACATTTTCAAGAGATATACTTTCAATTTATGCAGCGTGTGCATTAAATTTACCAGCCACATTAATGTACATTCTGTGTTTATTCATATATTCCATTTTTATTTTCTGTTTGTGTGCATGTGTATAAAATAAATAATTCTTTTCTATACTCAAAAGTACTGTATTTACTTATGCTTTATTTTATGGCAGTTATTTTATTAGTTTATTTTATTGATTTGTTTCCCAATTAGGTATATTTAGTGAGCATATTTTGTTTATTGTTAAAACACTTTTACTGTCTTTGATTTCACAATTCATTCCTAATTAAAATTGGAGCCACGCACAAATTCATCAGTCAAAACAATTATTTTGTTTCTACACTTTTTGTTCTGATTTCTTTTGTTTTGATTTTTTCTTTGTTATATGCTTCTTTTTTTGTATTTGGCACAGATCTTGTTCCTTGTCTTGTGTTAATGTGTTGATACAACAGCTGCTTGATGATCTTACCCGTGCTCAAACGATCGAAGTTAAAGAAGAATATTGCACGTCGCCAGGCAGTTTATTAAATCTATAGTCGATCTACAGTTTTTCGATTTGCTTTGTGCGCGCTCTACAAAACCGCGTAACAGCGTCTTCGATGTGACATCGGCGACTGGCGGCCAGCAAACAAACAGTAATCCCAGCTAGCGCTGGCCGATTCCCTCAGAATGCCAGTAGATTCAGTCGCAGCCGGTTGGCGAGACCGAGACCGAGACCGAGACTCACACAAAGACACGATCGAGCGTCTCAGCGCCTATTATGCGCATGTGTGAGTGCGTATCTATGTGACTATGTACGTGTGTGTATCTGTGAAATGCCAGCTTTATCACAGCGCATGAAACGAAGTCCGTTCGGCTTTTGTTACCTCGTCGCTGGCATTTATTAACGTTTTTTTTTCGCATTGGTTATTAATGTTTTAGCGTTGTTATATTGTAGTTTTCCTTCATTGATAAGGTACACACGCATACTTACACACACACTTACCTTGCCTGAGGCAGTTGATTGAATTTTGGTAGCTCGCTCGATCGCTTTGCTCGTTCGCTTGACAACATTTTTGGGTCGGGTGTGAGCGCTCCGGCTCGGGTCAGAAGTCCACATATCTCACTTCTTTCTTTCAGCTCTCATACGTAACGTAACACAATAAAATGTATGGAAATTGTTGCTATATTCTTCATTTATTGTATTTTTACTGTCGCAACCTGAAACAATGAAGCGCTTCATACGACCAATTTAATAAGACTAAAATGAATTCGATACAACGTGCTTTTTTATGATTCATGGTTACTTCATTATTATAACTTACACTCATTTATAATCAATGAAACGCCATTCAGAAAGTGTTAACACATTTAGTATTTGAACATTTATTTTTATTGTGATCAACTTTCTTTAAATGTTTACAGACTTGTTGCCAAAACGAGTCAGATTTCTTATAGTCAATCTTAACGGAATTTGATCTGTTTGTAATTTTCGATTTTTAAATAAATAAATACATTTTCTTGTAAAAACCATTTTAAATTACCAAATTAATTCACACAACACTTAAAGTATATAATAGCTATAAATTCTTATCACAAACTGTTAACAGGAAGCTATGAAATAATTGTCATATCAGTATACTATCTACTAATTTTTTAATTTATAGATAATGCTTGCGAATCAAGTAAGCAAAGTTCAATCAATTACATACTTGCAAGCTTATACTTAAAACTAGTACTTGATGAACTAGTTTAATACCTCAAATTCACGTTCTGGGTATATCAAATTACATACTTGCAAAGTATTTGTCTTTTTAATTTTAACTTATGTCTAAAAACTTCTATTAACATCTACATATTAATTTATTTAATTTAAAGTCTCCTTTTATATATTTAGTTATTTAAAATATATTGAAATCAATGAGAATGAGAGTACAGCAACTGTTACTCATTTCAAATTAATTGCGTTGCTTTGAGTTGTTAATGACTCGATTATTTATTTAGTTACTATCGTAATTTTGCTTATATGTGCAACTTGTTGGACTTTGAACCGCATTTGATTTAACTTTGTGTCGAGCTAAGCAAGAGCCAATTAAGTAGTAGTTTCTAAAAGAAAAAAGAATATAAATAAAACACAATTTCATTGTAATTAAATTCTTTGCCCAAGCTGCGCCGACTGTTGATTGCCGGTGCCCTCGAATCTATAACGCTGATTAGCAGCTTCAAGAATGTAAGAGTATTCAAGATGAGATGGGATCCCCGCTCTGCAACTTCGAAATGTGAATGATGAGTAAATGTTTACGAATGCCATTTCTTTGCAATGTGAAAAGTGAAATTTACATAAGTGTTTGATAAGCTCAACTGTATACTAAAACACGAATTGTTTGTGAAATGATTAGATTAAGTTTTATGAAACAATAACCAGGCTATTCTTGGCAAATACAAGGCAAGTACTAAAAGGCGTAAACTAACTTTGACTGCCGTAAAATAATTGACAACCACTCAATGTGTTCAATTACTTATCACTTATCAAACATCCGATGCGATCGGTCATATACCAAAGTCCAAATATATATTTGCGGCATCTTTTGAAAGCTTCCAGTCAAAGTCGAAATCGACGTCATTCACAGCGTTGAGATGTGGGTGTTGTGGCATCGTGATATGGACATACATATACAAAGAAAAACATTGCTTTTGTTCTCTAATAAGTGTTCATTTGGAGCTGATAGCTTTGGGTTAGTTATGTAGAGCAATTCAAGCGTCATTTCGAAATGCTTCACGTCGGATGCTGATGGTTTCGAAAACAATTTTGTATATATATTAGATTTTTTCTATATTTTTTTATTTGTTAAATATGAATTTTATGTGTTAGTCACCAGTCTCAAAATTAATTTGGCCTGTAGACAACCTTTTCCTGCATTATTCTCAGAGGAGGGTAAATTTTGTCAAAACCAAAGTGTATTTGTTAAAATATAAATAAAAATACACTTTGCACTTATATACAGATGTATATATGTATATTATTAGTTTGAAGCCAATCCGGTTGAATTTACATAAGAAATATCTTATAGATATTTGAGTATGATCTTGAATCAGATAGAATTTTCGCATTTTTGTAGCTGGAAATCGAATTTTTAACACCTCTAAATGTACTTAGTGATTAGTTACTTTCTATAAGAATACAACTGGATGATTTTCAGTTTCGCAGCTTCGTGCAACACACTGATAAGTCACTGAAGTCACCAGACACAATCTGATTACTATAGGTAAAAGTAATGCTCATTACTATGACGCTTTTTTTAAGATGACATTATAATTTATTAGCGGTCATTTACAAAGTAAACATAAATCGCTTGTCTGACGTGTTCTTCATAAGGATGCCATTCAGGAACAGAGTGTGAAAATCCATGTGAAGCAAAGGCTTATTTGAAAAATATTTATTATATGAAAAGTTTGGTGACGAGAACAAAGACAACTTTGAAGCGAGGCATGCGTAGAAATACTATGATATGACTATCCTAAGCTACTTTCACTTAAATAAAAAAAAGTTGAAGGATTCTCATTACATTACAGAATTGCTGACAAAATAATAATAATGATAGTAATATTATCCGGATATGATCGAAAGTGTTGGAGACTCACCATTATATCAGCTATTGTCATTACCATCTAGGCTTTATTTTTAACACTTTTTTCTATCCACCAAGTGATGAAGCCGCTACAAATTTCTCACACACCTGAAATTTTGCTCAACCGGATTTGGATGTCACAATGGTAACGGTTCAGCAAGATACAGGCGCGAATGAAATATGCCGGTCAAGGATAACACCACAGAGAGTGAGAGAGAGAGAGTTACACAAATTCGACTATACCAAATATATGTACATGTTAAACTGGCAACGGAATCGCAACCGCAACTATTCCTGACAACGTTCCGGACTCGACTGATGCACAGACGACACCAACAGCCGCTATGTAGCCTCCCAAAATGCCACTTGATCAACCAACTAACTGCCCCGTCCGTGTGACTACATATTATGTACTACAACAAAAAAAAAATAAAAGAAATACCTTTTTTTGGTCAGGGGAGTCGACATTAGAATTAGACTCGGAACAAAAGGAACAACAATGCCGGCTGGCCGCTTGGTTGGCTGACTGACTGACTGGGTGGGTCACACAAATGTTGCAACAGCGGCGCATGCTTTCTAAACGCCACCGTTTTTTTTTTTCTAACCGTTTTTGTTGTTGTTGTTGTTATTGTTGTCGCTGTTGTGGGACGCACCTTACTAGTACAAATAGCCAGATAGAGATAGAGCGACAGCTGACACCAGCGAACGCGCCTTTTTAATGAGGTGACCCCACCTAGTCGGTATATAATATATACATATACCATTTGGAGATGCCCACAGCTCAGGGGGGGATTCACCTTTTTGTTGGTTGCCGTCCAGTTCCCATAGGGCGGGGGTGGCTTTCTGCCTTGGTTAGCATATAATGTAGCCGTTTATCATTGGACGTAGTATATATAGTATAGTGCTATATGCATGTGTGGCTGAAGGTATATCCTGTCATATCAATTTTAATATGTATTTAACTAAATGGGTTAATGACTTGGCAAATGCATTCCTTAATTAAATTCATACACCAGATGCAGCTCTAAGAAATGACACATGTTTTGATAAATGGAAGTCTTCATCTCTCAACAATGATTAACTAATATGGAACATGCATAAATAGCTTTTTGCTACATACATATTATAATAATTTGAGAAATAAATAATAAGTAATTTGCGCTTAACATATGAATACCTTTATTTCTTTAAAGAAATTTAATGAATGTAAAAAGTTAATCGCTCAAAATTTACGGTTAACTAGGCTTGCGAAATAATGTTATAAACTAATATGCTAAGGATTCACCACGAAACGTGACCAACCTATCATATACCAATTTTAAATTCTTCAGTAAATGCAGTAAAAAAAATCATGTCCTGTTTTAAATAAATATAACCGTATGAAATGCAATACTTTTATTCTTATTTGGTTTTGCAATATTTCAAAATAATCTTGGAATGATATCATAAAAGATCATTTTGAATATTGTGTGTATTTACTATATAGTTTATTTTGCTGCTAACTTTTGGGAATATTCATGATGTGCAATATTCAAGATCTGCAATATCTTTTTCGCATCGAACAGTATTATTTCTTACTTTTTACTTACTTGTTTTGATTAACAATTATTGCAAATAAGTTCAAATAGAGACCTTGAAGAAAATATTAAACTACAATATCTTTGCAAAAAAAAAAAGGAAAAAAAAAACACTGAGGAGAGTCGTTAAGCCATTTCCTACCAATATTTATATGCCACTTTTATGTATCTACAGTCCGTTGCTCCATAGAGCACACACCTTGTTATAAAGCCAATCCTTAAAAGCATGCTACATATACTCGTATGAGTATGCAGTATATACTGACACACCCATAAAAAAAAGAAGAGCGATGTGCCAGTTTTCGCGCCCCACAAGTTGCCCTTTTCTCTAGCATTTGGCTTTGTTCTGCTCGCTGCGTTATGCCAAGTGGCCACGCAAGGAGCAGGACTAGCGCAGGGATGATCTGCGGTCACTAAAAGGGCGCGTTTCGTATTAACGCACAGCCAAATGTCAGTCTGGCTGTGTAGTATACCACACAGTCACTGATAGTTAACTGGGATTGGCTCTGTTTCCTTGTACGGGATATTAACATTTGAACACTAAGCAGCTAGTTTTCCTAATTGAAATTTGAAAGGGCTTTTTACTCAATACTCATTAGGGAAACTGGGTTCACTGGAGGCTCTCCTAACTTTGGCATATAGATAAATTTTGTAAAAAAAAAGTGAGTTAGTGTTGGTCCTCGTGTTATTTAATATTCGGCTTTATATTTCTGATTGTTAATGTAATGATATTTTATCTATCACATCGTTATGACACTTTATTAATCTTTGAATTCGTAATATAGCTAATTAAAAATTATTAATATGTCTACTCACAAGGAAAGCAAATTAGCTTTTGAATTAATTAACATATGATAATTTGTTCAAAGAACCGGGTGCAGGACAGATATAGTTGCCCACCAGACAATTTGATATTCCCTTAACAACGTTAAATTAAAATTTCCATGTAGCACATAATATTTAGTCTGAAACACCACAAAACCCGCCGCGACTAATACACTTATCACTGGGCGTGTTGTCAACGCAGGCCATTGGTTAAGCATTAAGCTTATATACTCGTGTACAACAATAAGATTTAATCCAGTCGTTCATTGTAGCACTTTTTGTAGCTTTTTGTTCTCGGCATTAAAATCCAGCAGAGGGTGCGCTGGTTGTTTGAACAGCATTAACTAGCAATGAGAATGCCGTTTAAATGCAGCCAAATAATTAACAAAATTAACGCTGCGCAACGATTTGTTTGTATATAATTAAAGTAACAAATTGATTACTCGTTTTTAAAGCCAACTAATCAGGGAGAGGGTGTAGCTTAAACACAATGATAGTATAACAATAATGTGCACTACGCCAATTCAGATTGTTCCGTCGGCTCCGATTTGGATTTGCTTTGCTTCACTTGTGGCGTGCCCAGAGCCATAGGCAGGCGGTCGCCCCAACGACTCACTCGGGCACAGCTGTAGGCGGCTCTGCAATAAGAGCAATAGACAAATTAGGAACCTTATACCGTATGGTAACCAAGTGGGTACTTACTTGCCGTGCTTTGATGCTGTAAAGATTACCTCCTGCAAATTGCCCGTTTGCGTACAAAGGCGACAAATCGAATGCTTCGAACGCACCAAAGTTGGCCGCACAATGCGTGGCCATTGCTGTGTGGCATCTGCTATTGCCCCCTTCTTCAAAATTGCATAACTATACACTGATGATTGACGATCTGAAGCCGAATCACTACTGAGGCGCAGCGGCGCGTAGCTTATTTCAAAATTGCAGGGTGTACGATCCGCCAAGTCATTGAGCCGTGGACAGCGCAGATCATGCGGACACTACAAAAGATAGAACCATCAATTAATTTGAAATAATCAAAGCTTATTACAGACTTACTGGCGCTAGAGTGTGGCCCTGATGCTCATCCTCTGCACGCAACAGATACTGTCTGGCCTCGTTGACCAGCTCAGAGCCTCGTCGTGTGCCCTCCTCCACGATGACCATATAGCCATCGCATTTGCGCCACAGATTCAACAGAATCTCCAGGCGCTGCTGTTTGTCGGCCAACTCGAAGAGTGTATGCGAAATGATAACTAAATCGTATTTGGTATCAATGGCGGGCAGAAATTGTCTATAGAATACATTGCGTAGGGCAACTTGCTTATTCTCTTGTCCTTGCTGCAAGATCAGCTCCGACAATTCGTTCATTTCCCGTGATCTGTCCACATTGTAATACTCAAAGATGCTCTCACGCCAGAGTTCACTAGCGGCCCACATTCCAGTTCCAATGCCAGAGCCAAAGTCAAAGTAACTGCGTGGGTTAAAGTGTGCATCGCGCAGCTGGAGCTCTGTGAGCACACGCCTCATTACTGCATACTCCTGGGCAGCTCTGGCAACGGCATAAACGATAGCCTCATAGGCACCGTATTCGATGGGCTTCCAGGCGTAGGTGCGTTGTCCCAGACGCTTGTTAATCTCCAATTCGCGCTTGCGTTTCCAACGCGCCGCCTCCTCCTCGCTGAGTGTGGCCAATCGTTCCAGCGACATCTTAGAATTTACCTCCTCTACGATCAATCGTTTCTTGTTTTCAATTTCCAACGGCGTTGGCGGCGGATGCCTCGATTTTATATAATGATTAAGCATTTGACTGTCGCGCAGCACTTTTCTCACAGGATGATCGCCTACAATGCGCTTCAGCGTATCGCTCAACTGTTTGGGCAATTCAACATGGTTGGGTCTTATGATTCCAGGATGTTTGCGCGGCTTTATGTTTGCCTGTTCCAAATCCGCCAGCACATCCGGCTCAACTGCGGCGCTGATTTTACAGGTGTATCGTTGCAAGAAGTGTGTGCTCGTCAGAAAAAGTCGTGGCGCAAGCATTATGTGTCCAGCAGTGTCTCGCACAAAAAGCGAAGCCATATTTTATGGACTTACTTCAGCTGCAGAAAATGTAAATAAACTTAACGCATGTGGCGCCGGTTGCAAGCAGTGAACTACTTTCGTAAGTTATGTAGCACAAATTTAAAGTTTTCCAACACTACTCCAACCAAGCTTGGTATGCAGTGTTTTAAAGATATAAATGACATATATAATATTTCATTAAAATTATAACACTATTAAAATACTATATTAAAAACAAGATTAAATTACTTGTCAAAAAAAAAACAACGAGCTGTGCCATTTCTATCTTCTCTCGATTTCTTATCATAGCACTTGTGAATTTGGGCAACGTACTAGCCTTAAATGCGTAGCCGGTTCGTTGTGATTGGCAAAGTGTTCCCGGGGAAAATATAAACAAAAAATGTTATAGCAAATTAATATGGATGAATACGAAGCACAGGTAAGTTGACTTTTAAGTACCGCTGCGTTACGGTGTATTAAAAGTGTCTCCTCACTTTTAGCTACTGGTAGTTGAGCAGGCGCTGCTTGTAACCACCGACGAGCAGCAACGCGAGGAGTTAAGCGCACTACGAACAAACCTGGAGGAGCTTCTGGCGCTGACCAGATCCAGTGAGACAGAAGCTACCAATAACATCAGCACGGCGCAGACTAATGGCGACCTCGATGACGAGCTAAAACGTTTCCAAAGCGAGTTAAATGACCTGAAGGAGCAGGAACAGGAAGAGACGGATACCACAGATGACAAGCAACAATTGGAAGAATTGCGCGCTAAATATAATGCTTTATTGGGTGAAAAGTGTTCGGCACCACACGAGCATAGCTGGGGTGCACTCAGCTATCACAATGCGCTCATCTGTGGCGTGGACGATGAATTAATTATAGATGGCAATGGTATTCTGGATGTACGACTCCGTGTGCTCTTCACAAATCCCACGCATCGCGAGATGCTGCCCTGTAACTACTACCTGGAGGGTGAATGTCGATTCGATGAAATTCGATGTCGCTTCTCTCATGGCGCCCTTGTGCCCGGAGCATCTATAAAGGAATATAATGCTCCCGATTTTCATAAGTTGGCACGCAATTGCCCGGTGCTGGCTAAATTGCAGGATCGCCTGTGGCATCGAGGTCGTGTGCTGTGCGTTAATTTTGTCGAACAGCAGTGTCGCGTGCGTTTGGATGGTCAGGAGCACAAGGAACGCGAACGAGATTTTCCCTTTGAGGAGCTCTTTCCGCTCATCGCCGACGAAGATGACGAGCTGTCTAGCGACAGCAGCGAATCCCACAGCACTGAGGATAGTGATGCAGCGAACGATTCCGATATGGATGATTTGGAGGCAGCGCGCCAGGCTCGCATGGTCGAGCTCAGCTTGTTTACGTTCAAGCCAACCGAGAAATTGGGTGCCTGGGAGCAGTATACGCGAGTATGTATTCTAATTCTAATTAAACTATTCAGCATTGTCAATCTAAATGCATTCAATTTCAGGGCATTGGCTCCAAACTGATGGCCAATATGGGCTATATACATGGCACAGGCCTTGGCTCAGATGGTCGCGGCATTGTGACACCTGTGAGTGCGCAAATACTTCCACAGGGCCGTTCGCTCGACGCCTGCATGGAGCTGCGTGAGGCAGCCAACGGCGACAAGAATTACTTCAGTGTGGAACGCAAGCTGAAGCGCGCCCAGCGCCGCCAGCAGGCAGCGAATGAAAAGGCCTACGCACGCGAATCCAAACGCACAGATGTCTTTGCCTTTCTCAACGGTAGTGTGTTGGGCCAGGCTCAGAACTCCACCAAGACGACAAAGACCAGCAATCTGCAGCAGCACTCAAATAAAACACTTAATGTGGAAACTGTGCGCATTGCCGATGACATACGACGAAAGCAACGGGACATTGCCAAAGTGCAGCAATCGCTGGCACGGAATGCAACCGATGCACAACTGCAAAAGCGGTTGAATGGACAGCTGCGAGCACATCAACAGGAGCTGGCCACGCTGCAGGCGCAGGAGAGCAGCCTCAGCAAGGAACAACAGACCCGTAAAAGCAAAAATAAAATGTTTGCATTCTAAACTTTCGAGATGTGATTAAGTTGAGAAATCATCTAATATTAGAAAGTTGCCTTAGGAACCAAGCGTCGAAAGTTTTGTTTGTTCAGACAGCTTAGCGAAATCATTAATTAATCTTTTCATTTTGGGAACACTTATTAATACATATGTTTTTTTTCATATCTACTTATCTGCGAGCGTATTAAAACTTGCTTTTATTTGCGCTTAACTAGTCGATAATCTCTCTAGAATATTACAATTAATTAGTACTAAATGTTGACAAGGGCGTTGTCAGTACGGCAGTCATGTATTGCTCCAGTAGCGCCTGGGCTAGATGTGAGCCGTGCTCCACAGTCAGCGCGTAAGCGGTCTCTCCGTTCTCATTGGTTGCACTAAAGTCCAGATCCCTGGCGAGCAGCTCGTTGCAGGTATGCGGATGATTGCCAGCAGCTGCATACATGAGCGCTGTATTGCCCACAATGTCCATGTGTGTGGCGCTGGCGCCGCGCTCCAAAAGGAATCGAACTATTTCGTTGTGTCCCCCGGCGGCAGCTAGTAGCAGCGGACTAACCATATCCGGTGCCAGGCTGTTCACATTAGCGCCTGCCGCCACAAGCAATTGTGCCGGTATCAACTGGCCATAGGAAGCGGCCCAGTGAAGTGGTGTGAATCCGTGCGAGTCCTTGAAATCAATGTGCGGCTGTCGCAGTAGTTCAGCCTTAACTTGCTCCTCCGTGATTTCACCCTGACCGGCCCGCTCATGAAATGAGAGCGACACCTCCACGGGACAAAAGGTAGCCTCCGTGTTGCCGCGCTGCAGATTCGTGAGAACAGTGGACTGTGGTCGATATGGCAGAAAAGCGCTCTTGCGCTTTGTGGAATTGGCATCCAGCAATATGCTTGACCCATGCAATGTCGACGAAGTGGGCGCATGCATGTTGGCTGGCCTTGGGGGCTCATCATCCTCTGAGTTAGCGCTGCTCTGCACTTTGTTTACGGGCGCAACCATCTGTTTACCGTCTGCTTCTTTCAAGTCGAGCTTAAAGTGTTTGTACCCTGCTTAATTAATATGATTTAAACAGTTTGTCGCAGCTAAACATGTAATAAATATTTTAATGTTGATTACTTTCTTGCCGAAGTAATTTCCAGCTGAGTTGCGTTAAGCAGCTGATTTCACAGCTGATTGAGTTGTTAAAATTAGTAAATTCGTAGTGTTTCTTTTGGGTCAAGCAAAAGTTGTTGTAAACAGCAGTTAAAATAAACAAATTTGTAAGGGCGCCATAAAAGCGAGAAACATCTAAACATACAAACACAAATTATTTGAGTTCACGCCTACAATTAGGGATGAGCGTAATTTGGTATATTCGCAAATGTCCGAAGTAAGTTATCGATAACAAAAATACCCTGCTGGTAAAGATTGTTGTTTGATTGGGCTTTTTGAACTTTTTTTTTTATTAGCAATTTTAATTATGTAAATATATTTAACTGATTCATTAACACTGACTTGGCAGATGTGTGCAAGCGTGCTGTTTCATAACAGGTTTATCTACTGTTGCGTAGTTAAACAAGAAAAAAAATAAAATCCACCCTGCACCTGTTGTTCTGGTTTCTCAGTGCAAGCCTGCGTTTTGGGCCTTTTTTTGCCCCTTTAACACTGAGCAAATTTGTGTGCAATTAAATTGCGTCGAAGTTTGGACCTACAAACAACCCAAACACACAATCACAAACAACGAGATGGGCAACAATGTGAGTGCCAAGGCCGATGGCGAAGGCAGCGAACCTCCGCTGGATGGTGGGAAACACCATAAGCACCATCAGCAACATCACAAATCCAGCATACATTCGCAATCGTCGAACAGCAACAACAATGGCAACGACGCTATTGCCGTCAGCAGCAACAGCGCCAGCGGCAGCAGCAACAGTCTCAAAGTGCAGTCACAAACGCAAACAATGACCAGATCGGCGTCGGGCGCAGATGTGACTGAGAAATATTTCACACAGTTGGTGCCCGTTGAGCGATTGGCTGAAATATTAAAGGAACAGACGAGTGCTAAATATGGCATTAATGGCATTGTCTCGGACATTTTTGTGGTGAGCAAGCAAACGAGTTAATAAGCTGATAACAGTTTTTATAGCACAATTCTTCACACTCACACACTTGTGCACAGTCTCAAGTGTTTCCACAATATGCTGACTTGGGTAACCGTCTGTTCAAATTGATGCACGTGAACTCGAAGGCAACCACAAAGCACTTGGGCACCGTTGCGTTTCGCCAGCAATGCGAACGATTTCTGGGCATCATGGACGATGGAAAGGTGCTGGAGAGCTACATTAAGATGTTTGCCGAAGACGATAATCCCGATTTTATAGATAAGACGGGCGTCACACGCCTACTGCACATCTGCTACACGATTGCCATGCAACACTCGGGGAACGCAGTGCTTTGTCCATCTATAAATCGAACATTTGGCTCGGTGACCAAGTCGATATTCTTTAGCCACGACAGCCTCACTTTGGGCTTCGTTTGCCGCTGGTTCGAACAGAATCTGATACGTCTTGTCCTGCTGGTGCACAAGTACTGTGTGCACACGTTGTCCACAGCATATCGCGGCCTGGAACAGCAGTCACAATCCTGCGGCATTGAGCTGCAAACGCCTGTGCTGGAGCAGCGCAATCCATTCGCATCCAGTAGCGATGCAGCGGATCACAGTGCGCTCCCAAGTCACATTGAATCGCTGATGCCACTCTCACAGGCCTGGCTTCTGGCTGGCGCCCTGCCGCCTCTGTATTCGAAGCCGCAGACGATTGCGCCGCCAAATAGCAGCAGCAACAACAGCAGCGCCTCGACAGCCGTGCAGATATTCAGGGAGAAACTATCGATGATGCCATCACACTGGACACTTCTGTACGATTCTAACGAGCATGGCGTGGGTGCTAATCGGTTTTTGCATCATGTTCTTGGCTACCGCGGTCCCACACTGGTGCTGCTGCACACCAAGGACGAGCAGACCTATTGCATTGCAGCGCCCAGCGAATGGAAGGAGACACATTTATTTGTCGGCGCCGAGGGCAGCTGTGTCATTCAGCTTTTGCCCAAGTAAGTGCAATAGTGATCCACATGAATATGTGGTAAAATCTTCAGTTTGAATATTTAAATTTAATAACTGCTACAGCCAAATTGCATACGTTTTCTAAAATTTCTATACTCAACAGACAACAAATTATAACTTAATTTATAGACGACTTTAACTTCCAAAAGCCTCATTTGTCTTTTAATATGTTGCAGGTTATAATGAGCTATTGTACAATCCAAGATCGTTGTTTGAAATTGGTTGAAAGTGAAAGTTAAAAAATAATCAAGTTCTATGAATTCTGTTCGCCTTGACCAATAATCTGTTTTATACATTTGCAGATTTGTGATACTGGAGAAGAAGCCCAACATTTTGTACCTTAATACGAGCATACGTGGCTATCCAAAAGGATTGCGAGCGGGCGTTGATCCCCGAAAGCCCATTTTAGCGGTAGATGAACATTTCGAGAATGTAGACTGCAAGGGCATCGCTGCGAGCCTCATGTCCATTGAGGTATAAAACTCATTCAATTTCGTTGTTAATATTGTATATTTCTTGCTATATTTATATGTGCAATAAGCCTTAGTCAACATAGTATATATATACTTTAATGTGGTATAAAAATTCATAGACATATCCCATGTATATATTGCATATATGTATATGGCATTGTTTCCAGTCTAAGCATTTAAAAAACAACACTTTCAAGCTGCTGTCAACGAGCTAAAAGCTTAAACATGGCCTTTAGGCCAGACTTAACAGTAGAGCGTGAAAGTGTGTGTATATTTAAATCAAGTCTACATTTCTCCATACCCAAAACGAAAACAACAATGGAAAAGCAACAGAATATTACCAACAACAACAAAAACAATGCACTTGTCTTTCAGGTTTGGGGCTGCGGCGATAAATCGTCACGCGAAGTGCAATTGGATATTAAGAAATGGCAAATCAAGGAAGCGGAACGTCAACGCACAGTCAAATTAACCGCCGCGGATTGGATGGATCATCCGGATCGTTATCTTCTCGAGTTAGGCGGCAGGCAGAACTATAACAACTAATAATTGCTGTTGTTTAAATTGCGTGTTTCGATTCGAAAGCAATTAGCGTGTGCCTTTCATTTGAGAACGCGATGAAAATACCTTAAAGAGAGAATGTTCATACTTAGAAGTCATTCGTTCACGCGCATCACGATACGAATTAACACTGGACTGAATTTGTTTGTATTTTGATGTTATATTCGATTAACGAATTTTGTTTCATGTTTTTTTCTTTCGTTTTTTTTTAACGGCTTATTGGAATGATTTGATTGATATTTGTACGTATTGTTTGTAATGCCATTTTAATTTATATTCGATTATGCTTTTGCCTGTACTTAAAACATTTTGTCCTTGTCCACCAGTTCTGTGGTTTTTCTTTTTTACTAATCGTCGTTCGCTGCTCTTGCAATTAATGTGTCAGGTAATTTAATTTTTCTTTATATTATTGTTTCTATTCTTTTTCATCTGAGAATGCAAGTATTAAGTAAAAGACATAAAAATTATGAAAATAATAAAACACAATAAACATAATCAAATGTTGCAAATGAACGCTTTAAATCTTTTTATGGCTGGGCGCTGATTTGCTAAAAGCAACTGGTTAAGTAATTTAATGTAGCTTATCAGCAAAGCACTTCAAAACATTTGTACGAATGCATATACAATGACTAATGATATTTCTATTTTATCTGCTCAAATGAGTGTGATAAAAAAAAAGCGTCTCGCAATTTTATGGGTCGTTAACAAAAATGATAAATAGACCATGGAAAATTTTCAGCTTGACCAATCACAGCTATGAAAAAGATTCAAAAGCTATAATTTGGTTATTTGCCAACAGGTTTATCTAGTTTGTTGGATATGGCTCAATCTCAAAAACTTTGGCCATTAAAATTGGCCCAGGACCGACAGTAATCTCAATAGAGTTTAGACTTGATTTTTAAAATATTGTCATGAATAGTAGCGCATAATTATGCATATATAAATTATAGACTAAATAATCATCGCATTTTGAAAGAGTATAAATAAGTTTTCTCTACAAATATCTTTGAAGAATAAAGGTAAAAGTATAAAAAATAATACCGTAATATAAATAATAAAAAAACAAATCTTGCTTTTTATTTTTTCCTATTAACAAGCATACGTCCAATCATTCGTTAAAGTGCATATAATATAAAAAAGAAAATTTAGAAAGTGTTGTGCAATGTTTAAAAGAAAATGTGTTTTATAAAACATCAACATTAAATTGCAATTTCAAATAATAAAAACAGAAAAAATACATCATTTAAATAATTGTTTGCATAATTATATTATTGAGAATAACATTAGGTAATATACAATATATGTTTTCAATATAAGTTACGCCCTTTTCTGACCGGCAGTCACATCATTCACAATCTTTTGCTTTAAGGGTTTGTTTTATAAATTTATCTACTATGCAACATGCGTGTTCGATTACGAGTATGGAGAACTGTTCATAACTAGCCTAAAGAATGTACAATCTACTGACAGTCACAAAGCAAATGTGTATAACTATTCTGCATATGGTTTTCCTAGATTTTATTATTGCCTATTTGAATTTCAAGTTGAAAGTATAAAACATTTGGAGCCTAATCTACAAATGTGCGAAAAAAAATTAACCGCTGCTCCTATTTGCATATAAATGCATATGTAAATTGAAGATTCGCTAGAATTTCATGAATCTTGATATTTTCACTCCAAAACTAAGGCCACGTAATTCAAATGTACCCAATTAGATTGGGCTGGCAGAACAGTTTGCTGCATTGTGAGTATTCGTGTTAAAAGGAATTATTGTTTGCCAATCAAATGAAATAATTTGGTAATTGAGAACAAAGAAAAAAATGAAGGGGTATATAGAAAAACATAAATATCGTTGCGTCAATAATCAATGGGTCTAGGTCTAGGTGATGTATTCTCTGTCGCGACGACGTCGCGTTGTCGAAGCGACAACCACAATGGGCATCTGTTCAACATTCTCTGCATTCCCTACATCATCATCATTATCTTCATCGTCATCGTCTTCGTCCTCGTCATCGTCCGCGTCGTCGTCATCGTCTTCGTCATTGTCATTGTCATCATCACCGCCCGTTGAGTTTGACCACTCGGATGCAGTCTGATTGCTGCACGTGGCGCTAAATTTTAAACTACTCGACATGCCAAATGAAACGGACAACGATGCGCTCAGCGATGAGGCATTTAAATTTTGGCTAACTTCTACATCGTCTCCATCCTCGAGCACATCGATGTGCTGCTGCTGATAGCGATGTCATCTGCCCGCGCCCAACAGTAGCGCATAGTCATCGTTGGACTCGGGTATCGGTGCTGCAGCGGATGCAGCAGCACGTGCCTGCAGAAAACTGCTGCCGGTCGCTTGTGGCGGGCCAACGCCGCCAAGAAAATGCTGCTGATCCCGTTCGCGGAGATGCTGATTCGTATCGCGTTGACGCGTTGACTGTTTCAAATTAGTGCCCGGTAAGTGCAGTTGTTGTTGTTGGTAATTGTTGCTATTGCTATTATCACCAGCCTCAGCGGCGCCTGCTATGGGAAATCGAGATGTGGAATGAGTTTGGTGTTCAGTTAATGTAGCTAGTTGCCCAGTTGCGTTAACGGGCACAATTAAACGGTTCGTGGTTGTGGCACCATATGTGGCATTGCTGTTACCTGCTTGTGTGCCGCTGCCCCCAGGCGTCGCTTGTTCCGGCCGTTTGCCAATTAAGTACTCGGATTCGCTGCTCGAGCGTCGAGGACCACGTACCAGCGGCTGATATGTATTGCGACCCTGAAAACGACGACTGATCGAGCTGCTGACCACGCCCAAATGTTCCGTCACATCCTCCTGCATGTCGGATATGTCCATCATGGAGAGAAAGGCACGGCACCAGCTGTGATTCGGATTATTCCAGTACTGCGGTGAATTAATGTGGAATGGATGATGCGGGAAGCTGTAAATGTGGGCAATAGCCGCAATAAACATCTCAATGCATATGAGAAAGTTCTAAAAGTAAACAAAATGTGATTAAATTGAACAGATCAAATATATAAAATTCAATTCAACTCACTTGCAGAACGGATGCCAGATTGTCATCGCCCACATCGCCGAAAATATGCTCAATGATTTTATAGTACACCAAAACGTTTAACAACACTCCTTGGCTATGAAATAAATAATAAGTAATAAGTAATCAAATTATTCAATTATTTAGCAAGCAATTAACACTTACAAAAACGAAAAGAACACAACGGCTTTGATGCACAGGAATTTTGGTATTGGCTTCATGGGCTTCAAGTCCTCCTTGTTGGCACGATAGAATAGCACCAGGCAGTACATGGCCACAAACTGTGAGATGTTGTTAATGACCACAATGTAGGGGAAGGCCACATTTCCCGCAAACTCGCCCTCGCCATAAACGCCGCACAGCTCGCAAATGCTGTGTCGATGAATGCATACAAATTATTTTACAGATAACAATTCCATTTGATTTTAATGGATCTAAGTTCACTTAAAACTACTGATAATAACAAAGGTCACACAATAAGCGAGTCAGAGACAAGGAATTAATCCGAAAAATAGCTTGAGTTAGACACTAAGATGCCTTGTCTAAAATTAACTAAACACACAACCTAATGTAAATGGATTAAGCGACATTGCCAACAGCATGACGTGGTACTCACACTGAGATAAATGCGGTAATGGGTCGCACCACCGTGTATTGCAATATGCCGTGCTTGCAATTGTGAATGAACTCCCTGCCCATGACCCAGGGACGCATGCAGCAGAGCGGAAAGAAGTGATGCACCTGCGGCTTGTACGTCATCGTTGCCTCCAGATCCATGCTTATATTCAAATAGTTTAGCAGGTAAACCATGAAATTATAGATCACATATGCCTCGTAGCACTCTCGTAGCGAATCCACGTAAATGGAATGCTTGGGGAAGAGCAAACCTATCCACTGTAATTAAATTGAAATTGTAAATAATTTACATCATTATTTCAAATAATTCCAAATAAAAATAAAGATTGATATTGAATTTCAATCGATTTAGTTTGAATGGTTTCGCAAACCACACACAACCACAGCCGCTTATATTGACCCACTTACCGCATTTAACGCGTAGATGGGCACCATCCACAAAATGCGTATTATGTGCTTCTGCAGGATGGGCCTTGTGAAATGGATAACATGCTGGATGATATGCCAAATGGAAATGGGCACGGCGGAGAGCACAAAGAGGCCCCCAATCAGAATGAGTTGATCGTTCTGCTTGAAGCCATCTTTCACCGAGTTGACAATCAGCAGGGGCACAACAATAATGGCGAATATCACATAGGTGACAATCAGCAGTGGACGAATCCAGATCCGCCAATCTTCGCAGAAGCGTCGTATATCCATGCGGCACATCCTACACATGTATTTCTATAAGTTGGGCTTATGTTATAGTTTTATGTGGAAATATTTGCGAGTTCTGCTTTCGTCACAAAGACAAAGCCGCAAAGCAAAACAGCAGCAGCAACCGAAACGACGACGTCGTCGTCGTTGTTGCTATTGTTGTTGTTTTTGTATTGATTATTATTATTATTGTTGTTGTTGTTGTTGCCGCCGCCCCGTTATTGTTGGCTGTTGCGTTTCTTTTCCTGATACGTTTGTATTTCTCTTCGGGCTTTTACATGGTACGGCTTTTGCACCCACGCACGGTTTGCAAATGTTTTGCATACATTTTGGCTTGGTTTGTTTGAGAAACAAACACGCACACACAACAACAACAATTTAGGCCAAGCTGAAGAATGCAAATTAATATTTGTTAATTTTCGAGTTCCTGGTGTGTAGCGACAATCCGCAGATAAGGGGAAAATTGTAACTGTGTGGCAATGCCGAAAACTATCCAGTGCTGCCAGTCGCTAAGTCACTTGCTCAATTGTGCAACACTAATAAGCGCATGGTTGTATTTGCAACCTTCTACGCTTATTTCCTGCTCCCATAACAGCTCTGTAATAATTTCCCATATGTTAACATTTAAATAAGAATATGAATATTGTGGATTATTATTGTGTTTATTTTAATTACAGGTTATCGAATTACATAATGCATATCCCATTTAGATAAAAAATCATTAAAAGCTATTAAACATATATGGTGTCCTTTAAGCTGCTGTTGCGATGTAAAAACAATACCGCATCGATCTGGCTTTGGGTGCCAGTGAGCATAAAACGCTTATTATAATCATAAATCTGTTCACGCAACGTTTTCTTGAAATTTAGATTGACGACACCAGGTACACCCTGATATAGCGTTGACAAGTCGCGCAGTGTGCCATAGATGTGACCCATTTTGTTCCACCATTCTATTGGTGATTCGTCCAGCTGCACAATCACCTCGTTGCGATAACGCTTGAGATCTGTTTCCACAGTGCTATCGGCATCCCGCTTTGGTGGACTTGGTATTTCTGCAACATCAAACAGCAGTTCCAGTTCTAGAAAAATTCAGTTACAAATTAATACAACTACTAAACAGCAACTGCAACTGCATCTGCATCTATTCCTAGAGGTGAACTCACTTGACTTCTTAGCGTTTTGAGATATCGCCGCTCCTGCTGCGGCCGAGCCGCTGCCCTGTTTGACATTTGGTTCTGTTTTAATGGTCACTGTGGGTGTGCTCGACACCGAGGCAGTGGCTGCCACCTCTGTTGAATCCCCACTCTGACTGTCCGTGCCCAGGACGCCGCCGAACGTCTTGTTGTATTTCTGTGTCAGCATACGGACACAGCTGTCCAGGTTGTCAATGGTGGTCAGCCGATGGAATCGGGGATCTAACAGCGCAGCGCTGGTCAGCGTATCATTGGCAATAATCTGGGATTGCAAAACGCCAGCAATGGTGCGCTTGATATTCATCATGAGCGGCTCATCCTGCTCGGCAATGCCCAATTTCTTGATCAATATCTTCGAAGTGATCGGCGATAACATGCTGCACAGTGGCATATCCTCGCCACGCAAAGTATCCAGCGCAATCTAATTGTGCAAGTGCAATCAGTTTATATATAATTTAGTTAATTCGTTTTTGCCAATTAACTTACCACCAGAGCACTGAGCGCTTCGGTCACAGTTTTGGCCGTGATCACCAGTTGATCCATGTCCTCGGACCACGAAATGGATTCAGCAAAGAACTTAAGCAGCTCATACAAAGTCCATGGGAAATGCTCATTATATGCCGGCAGCTCAGACACCTTGGAGCTTATCTCAGCCGAGTGACGCTGTATAATATCCTTGACCTGCTCTAGGGCTGTAGCCACCTCCTCCAGTTCGAAAACGTGTCGCAGACACTTGTCAATTACCGACACATAGCAGAGTACAATGGGTATATCTGTAGGATTATTCAATTGTTTGGTGATAGTGATAAGATACATGGAAGAATGGAAATAAAATAAACAACTTAATAATATAATTATCAAAGTGAACATGTGTAAGTAAATATATATCTCTAATCAAGGTAATATTTAATTACATTTATAGTTATAACTGTAGTAGTAGTAAATTAGTTGAACTTACTCTTCTCCTTCAGGAAGGACTGCAGCAGATCTTCCTCGTCGTCGTAATTAACAATTGCCATGGTGCAATTGGGCAAATAGAATTCGGTGAGCAGTTCATCGAATGAGACGTAATCTGTATACTCGATGGTGGCATACATCACGCTGCGCACGCACTGCGTCTCATCGCTCAAATAATTGTGATAGATGCTGAGGAAGCGACGCTGCTCCACATTGTTCCACAGCTCGAAGGCCAAGGAGTAGGGCTTCTCGCCAGTGAAGTCGCGCGTGAAATCGCACATTTCGAAGAATTTGGATGCATGCTGCTCGGTGATCAGCCCCTCAATCTTCTGGGGCATGGGCAGCGATGCCAGATTTCCCATGGCGAGACGTATAAACTCGCTGATGCCCTGATCATACAGCGTTTCCACATTACGCAAGTCACGCACAACAATATCCGCCAATGCCTCGGGTAGGTTGGCTATGTAGCTGCGCACTCCTTGCACGCTACCCGATCCGTCCTCATGCTTGATGTTGGCACGCGTATAGTGCATGGTGCCCGCCGATGGAGCTGTCATTTTGCGCTTACGGCCATACTTGAGTTCGCGTGGCTCGATGTTAATGGAGCGATCCTCCTCCTCGACCAGATTATCGGCATCGTCATAGGTGAGTGGCACCATCGATTCGTACAGCATCGCCTGTGATGCGGGATCATCTTCGGCCTGCATCGCAGCAGCCGCAACAGCAGCCTCATCAATCTCATCATCCTCATCGTTGTCATTGTCGTTCTCGTGATGGCTGCGATTGTTGATAAACTCCAATTTGACCCGACGCGAGGAGACGTTGCGCTTGGACAACGGCGGATGGTTGAGGTTGCGAGGCGTTTTGCGCGGCGGCACTTGTATATCGTTCTCCTGGCAGAGGGCCTTGAACAGCTCTTTGTGGCGATGTTGGAGATGCGCACGCAAATTGGTCGTGTTGCCGTGATTGGTCAACACTTTGTGGCATTTAATGCAGACAACACTTTGCTTGGTAATTACCTCGTCATTGTCGTTCGATGGAAAGCCAAAGTAACGCCAATAGACGCTTTTCATTTTCGGCGAATACAGCTTGGAAAAATTTAGCTGCGAGACATCTTCGTATTTGGCTTCGACGACCATTGGGGAACTTGCGACGCCGGCACTCATTTTGCGATTTCTTCACTCTTGTATGTTTTATTATTATTATTATTATCTATTTTTTTTTTTTGGCTGCTTATTGATATCTGATTACCGATGCCAGCAAATAAATAAGCGCGCAATTTCTCGATTATAGATAGTCAGTTCAATAGTCAATAGTTTTTTATCTGTATCAGAAAGTACAGTTCAGAGTTGCCACGCGACAGAGTAGTCAATCGATAAGGCAAATGCACATATTTCGTATTTCGTATTACAAATGCGCAGACGTTGTAATCATTTATTTATTTTTTACGATTGGACAAATAATTATCGGATGGCGTTTGACGTTTAGTTGGCGTCGTGCAGCTCTTAATTGTAAGCTGTATAAAATTTCTGTTAACACTGATTGCATCACCAATCGATAGCTGGGGAAATTTAAGCGACAGCATGGGAAATTTCTGGAGGGAATTTTTATATTGCTATATGCCCATGGCGTGAAGTTGGCTGCGATTTCCTTTTTGATTCGTTCTTGGGTAGCAAAAGGTGTGTGAATTTTTACAACGCATCAAAAATAATAAATTTAGATAAACAGTGAGCAACAAAATATTCCAAAAGATGGTCCAAAATGTGTGGCATTTGTCGAACTATCAGTTTGGATGAAAACATGAGTGAAAACATGATTTACTTAAGCGTAAAACATGCAAATATGCGCCAGCCACGTGGTGTACATTGGCCGCTATTGGTTAAAATGTAATTTATCAACTTTCATGCATATGTTTATAATGTGTATGTGTGTGTGTGTTTGTTTTCTTTATCTCCATTGCAGCTAATCTAAACCGCCAAGATGGGTAAGGGAAATAATATGATTCCAAACCAGCATTACCACAAGTGGTGGCAGCGACATGTGCGTACTTGGTTCAACCAGCCGGCGCGCAAGGTCCGCAGACACGAGAATCGCGTCAAGAAAGCCAAGGCTGTCTTCCCTCGTCCCGCCAGAGGTCCCCTGCGTCCAGTTGTGCGTTGCCCCACCATCCGCTACCACACCAAGTTGCGTACCGGTCGCGGTTTCACTCTCGAGGAACTGAAGGTGCGTCTCTTCATGTGTTTGTTGACATTATACAAATGATAAACATTCTTAATTCTTAGGGTGCTGGTTTGAGCAGTGCTTTTGCCAAGACCATTGGCATCGCTATCGATCGTCGTCGCAAGAACAAGTCACTGGAATCACGTCAGCGCAACATTCAGCGCCTTAAGGAATACAGAAGCAAACTGATTCTGTTCCCCATCAATGAAAAGAAGATCCGCAAGGGCGAATCTACTGTTGAGGAATGCAAGCTGGCCACACAGCTTACGGGACGCGTTATGCCTCTGAAGAAGGAGCAGCCGGCTATTGAGTTCCGTGATGTCACACAGGACGAGAAGAAGTTCATGGCGTTCGCTACTCTGCGCAAGGTGCGTTCACTCTATTAACGATGCTTTTCTTGATTGGTCAATGAATAATCATTTCATTTGATTTGCAGGCACGTACTGATGCTCGTTTGGTAGGCATTCGCGCTAAGCGCGCCAAGGAGGCAGCTGAGAGCGAGGAGGGCGCCAAGGCCGATACTAAGAAGGCCAAGAAGTAAACGGCAACTCCTAGACCTGATAATTCTGTCTACAATTAACAACAATCAGAATAAAATTTTAGTTTTTTCATAAACATGAATAGTTTTGCAGTTGTTTTCTATTATATAACCAATAATACGAATTTGTAAACTACGCGGTTTTTCTATACTCTACTTAATCACTAACAGCTGCTCAGCAATGTCAATTGGAACGTGCTCAGCACAATGCGCAGACATCGTCGGAAATCTAGTTTAGGTGGGCAATAATAAACCATTCTTGCAACAAGCGAACAATGAGCTCTGCTCGGAACACCAAACAGATTTACTTGTGCAGCTGTTGATTGCCTACCTCTGCGCACACACACAAACATTCAGATTGCCAGAATTTCTTATGCGATGACCGCTTTATTATATTGTGTTACAAACAGATGATGCTTAAGGTAACTTCAAAATAACAAGAAATATCAATTTATAGAAACGAGGGTGTTTTTAATAGCTATATACATAATAGGATAACATTAGACATTCACCTCAAATCGTTTTATTTAAATTAAAAAAATATTTATTTAATATAAAACATACTGTGCAACAATCCAATTATTTAGCTAATCGAAACTAAAAGTAGCAGGTATAATACAAATTTGACTAGGAAGCTTATATTGTTTAATTTTAGTAGTTACATTTAAAGTAAATTAATCAGCTCTGAGAAGACCACAGTGTACTCGACTGTGAGATATCCTGTAAGCAGATGTAATTGCACACATTAACACACAATCGAAATTGATATACATATATTCATTTATGTGCTTACTAAAATTTACTTAAAAAGAGATAAATACTTTGCCATGCAGTTTATGCAGATTTGATTAGCATTACAGATTTCTCTTTATAAGAAAGTATTTGATGCGGGTATAGATTTAAATATGACTTCTTATTTTAACTGATGCCTGCAAGCACAATTTAAAATTGAAATTATCATTTTTTAGCTGACCTCCAAAATTATAAAATTCAAACAAAGATTCAGTCAAAGCATATTTTTGCAGACATTTTTAGAATTGAATAGCAATAAATAAAATATTGTGAATTGAGCTTGTTTTGATGTGGTTTTATACCAACATGCATATCTCATAGAATTGCAGCTCAAACTTACTGACCCCAATAACTAATCACAATTTGTGCAATGGAGTTTTTTCATAATGTAACAAAAATAGTTACCAGGTTCAATGCCAACATATGTATGACCACAATTCATGGAGAAATTATACTCAACTACAGAAGATTAACGACTGCGACATTGAGTGCGACATATGCAAAAGGAAAACTTTTGTTTCTCGTGTAAAAAATAAAGGGTTGCTGCTGTTGCTTGCTGCCCAAAACCAAGAGCGACCCAATTCAATTATCGGGATGAGGATGCTTTGCCGGCAACCCGCACCTTGAACCTTGTTTATGCATTTCAATGATTTTTATTTGATTTAACCTTGTTTTCGGCACTGTCGCTGGCTTCGTGTCAAATGCATTCAAATTTTTATTATTGAAATTTATGAGCGCAAAAGTGATTTTCCTGTCCTAGATATTTTTTCTTTTATTTTTATTTTTTGTGTGTGTGGTTGTTATGCTGGTGGCTTAGGGTGTCGTCGGGGGTTGTCAGTAGCGGTAAACAAGCGAACTGAACGAGCGACCCAACAAAACACGCCTGACACCAACCGTAATTGGCAATTGTTTTTCCGTACTTGTGTGTCGTTGTACCTTTTTTGGTGGTGCCCAACAACTTTTTTGCAACATGTGCGCAACACCCAAATGCTCAAATGCAGATCAGAGTTCCTTTTACTCTTTGTGGGTTCCCATTTGAATGTGAGTGACAAAGTGAGAAAGTTATTTTGATTTGAAAATAAAAAAAATAATGAAAATAAGTTTGTAGCTGGAAATTGGAAATTGCATTAAAGTTGCATTTTAGTTTATCAAACTTGAAAGGTAAAATCAATTTGGCATTGCATCTAAATGCTTTTAATCGTCTTATTTTCAACATGCTCGCATAATTGGTGGTAGGGAGGAATGGGGACCAACACTGAGTACCCTTTCCACTGCCAGCTCATAGCCTGTGGGCTAATCTGCATATGTGCGGAATGTTCAAGTATATTTATACACGTATGTGTGTATTCGAGTGTCTGCACCATAAACGCAATCAGTGCTTAATGATCCATGCATCAATTGGATTAGTGCGTGCCTCACAGGCAAACGCAACAGCAGCAGCAGAAACAGAGACAGACCAGGTTCAGGAGCAACAGGAGCAGGAGTAGGTTTCCAGCAAGAGACATGCCAAGGACAGGCCTTGGTCTCAGTAGGCTTCCTCTAGTCACGATTTGCATTTGAAAGATGCATAGCTTAGGCTGCTGTTGCGTCGATTGAAAACATTTACACATTCATATTATTTATGTGGATAGCTTAATTTGGCATAGCTTGTGTGGCAAGTCTGTCCTACAAGCCAACCCACCATTAAGTTGTGCAGCGGGTATATTGCTATAGCTTTTATATATGTCTGGGGCACTAGTTGAAACTTTTTGGACAATAATTTAATTACCTTTAATGTCTTTGCACATCTTTCATACAAACAGTGTAAATGATACTATCAGAAAAATGTTCGAAGTACGAATTATTAGTGGTTTGGGAGGAATTCTGTATTTCAAGCAGAGAAAATATACAAATATTTATATAAAAATAATAAGAAAGGTTCAAATTACATATTCGATTTTAGCTGATTTTTCAATAAAAATGTTGAATAAAGACAAAATAATTCTGATTTGAGCACGGAAATATCTTTTTTAAACAGTAATTAAACAAAGGAACACCTAAATTTGCTGTTCTTCTGATACAACTTTATTTAATCTAATAACCTAATCTTTATTATTAACCTAATCTTAAAAAGCACAGGGCTGCCTATTCAAATTAAATAATCTAGCCAAATCTTTAGTTAATTCAACAAAAATCATAACTCATCATACCAAATCTATAGAAGTCTCTTATATATAAAGTGGTGTGCATAAAAAATTCAACCCTCAGTTCTACCCTCTAATAAAATGCTTATTATTTTTCCATAAAAAATCACCCAAAACATACAAAAAAAAAAAAAACATATTAATCAAATATGCAAATAAGCAGAAGGCACACATTGAATAACACTTACGTAGACCACAACAATTTATGACACTCCCCCCCGAGCCGTGGTCGGGCGCCATTTAAGTCGTTCACGCATCATCTATCAAAAAATGGCATGCCATAAAAAGAGGCTCATGCAAATCCGAGTATAAGGACCCCCTTGAAATAACACCTAGCTGGTAAAGAATGCGCCTGCTGTTGCTGTTTTCCTTTCCTCTTTCCTTTTTTTTACTGCCAATCAAAAGGCAACAACTGCCGTCGATTATGAGATCAATGCCACGGGGGGGCACTGCTCGAATGAGATGAGGAGAGGGCAAGGCGAAGGGGAACCGCGGGTCTAGTAAAACAAATCGTAAAAAACGCAAATTGCAAAGCGAATCGAACAAATGGGCGCGAAATATCCAAATCGCATTAGCTCAAGTACAATAGAATCGCAAATTTTTGCATATGCAAAATATAATTGGCGTAAAATATGCAAATGAGTTAGATGCACGCTGCAGGCTGGGAAAATTGAAAAGGGAAAACTGAGGGACGCCTTGTAAATTGAAAGAGAGCTGAGCACTTATTTATTATAACAATTGTTATGTTACCTACGACAAGTTGAATGTCCTTTCGGCTTTGACGTGCCAATGTCCTGGCCCG